GGTTATTTGAGTTTGTGGTGTCAGCTGCACGCCAGAGCACACACGCAAATCTAGGGTTCCTGTCACCACCACCCCTCCTAGATCCAGGACCTGGCCATCCGCTGCATCCAGAAGAACATCAAGAAGAACCGGGGCGTGAAAGACTGGCCCTGGTGGAAGGTCTTCACCACCGTGCGGCCGCTCATCCAGGTGCAGCTGACCGAGGAGCAGATCCGCGGCAAAGACGTAAGTGCCCGCCAGGAAACGGAAGGTCATTGGTTCGCGTACCCAGAGAAGAATGCACTGCTGTAGTAACCTTGAGTAACTAACCCACATATGGTAAAAATATCCAGCTCTGTGAACAGGTAAAAACCATAGGCATCCGTGCAACTGCTAGGCAGTAAAATCATAATATAATGCAGTAAACCTACAGTGAATTAGTGAGGATCACCAAGTCATGAAAGACTGTTCAGTATAGAGAGTAGAATGTGAAAACGTATCCTATGTAGGATGTGAGGTGGATTAGTGCCTGCAGAAGTCTCCGGAAGTCACCTTGTACTTCTTGTGCCCCTGTGGCCTGTGAGGGATGACTTTGGTAAACTGTAGCTCAGGTCCTGGAGGGTGGGGGGTGGTCGGGATGTGGAAGGGACCTTTATTTTTGCCTTAGCTGCAGGATTGAAGATAGCCACTAGGTGGCACTCATGACTCCTCCTGGTGCAGTTGGGAGCTTGCCGTTCTAACTCTGTGTCCCCCTCTGTCTGTCCTCATCCAGGAGGAGATCCAGCAGCTGAAGGCGAAGCTGGAGAAGGTGGAGAAGGAGAGGAACGAACTGAGACTCAACAGCGACCGGCTGGAGAGCAGGGTAGGGTTGGCTTACCGTGATCAGGAGTGAGGCTGCCAGCATTTCCACATCTCAAACACACACACACGCACACACACACACACACGCACACACTCCCCTTTTGCCTTGGCACTGAGGCTTGGGCAGCACTCCAGAGCTGGCAGAACTGTCCTATAAGAAAATGTCTCAAACACATGCCGGGAGCTGGGCTGCATACAGCCAGAACGTCCTCCTGTGCTCCTGAGGCACACGTGACTGGTTCTGTGACAAGGTTGTGGGCCGGTTGAGTCCGTTCATTGGCGCTGGTCCATTTGCCTCCGCTGCCGATAGGGGAAGCAGCCTGATGGCCTGACTGGGCCTTCAGGCGACCACCCCCCCCCCCCACACACACACACACACACGTTCTCCCCCAGGGGACTGAGGCTGCTTTGTGCCGCAGATCACGGAGCTGTCATCGGAGCTCGCTGACGAGAGGAACACGGGTGAGTCGGCGTCCCAGCTGTTGGAGTCGGAGACCTCGGAGCGCCTCCGTCTGGAGAAGGACATGAAGGACCTGCAGGTAAGGGGAGCCCAGGACCCAGCGTAGAGTCTCCCAGGTGATTAGCGGGCTAGCAGGCGGGGTTAGCTGGGGAAGCGGCCCACAGCCTCTGCGGCTCAGGATGCCAGGCCTCCCACGCTGCCTTACCTGCGGCTTTCTCCCCCCGAAAAGGAAAGCCAGCGCCTCAGCAGAAACACCATCGAGTGAACAGTGAAATTTGCAAGTAGCTCTTAATAGACATTAAATAATCTAAAGATTTAAAACTGAAACCATTTTCAGTAACAGGCATGGTCTATTACCCGTGAGTCCATTTGCACGCCCTGCAGTGAACTGTGGTGGGCGCGGGGGGGTGAACAAGCAGAGGGCATCGGGGAACTAATGGCACCATGTTATGAAAATGAACAGTGAAATCAGATTTGGACCTGGCATTTTTTTAATTCCCCCCCCCACACTCGGACATTTATTTGACGAGACTTGGCATAGGTAAAATCCCAAGGGCGCGGACTAGATTTTCCCGATGAGTGCTTGTGGAGCGTAGCCATTGCTGAAAGGTGAACCGGGCACAGATTGCCTTGGTCATGGGGGAGAGGAGGGTGTAATTGGCCGGGGTGGGGGGGGGGACGTCATCCGGGGGAACAGATGGCCCTCAGAATTTGCCCTGTGGGGGCTGATGGCTGCCATGTGCCGGGTACAGAGCAAGTTTGACGCCATGAAGAAGCAGATGGAGACCATGGAGATGGAAGTGATGGAGACCAGGCTGATCCAAGCATCAGAGCTGAACGGCGAGATGGATGACGACGACACGGGTGAGTGGGTGGGGCATGTAGGGTGTGGTGGTGTGGGGTTTGGGTGGGGTCTCAGGGCTCACCTGGGGATCCCCATCTTGTGGTATGCACCGCCCGTTGCCGTCTTGGGGGCTGCCGGTGCCCTAAAATTAAACTGCAGACGCACCCCCACCGGCAAATGAGAAAATAATCTCCAAGATCAGACCCTGAGCTGGCTGGGAAGCTGCCATTTACGCTATTTATATGGAAATGGCAGCTTGCAGTGGAGAGTCCTTCAGCCTCTATGGAGGTGAGATGATGGGCTTGATTTCAGATCATCTGTCGGAATTAAAGCGGACCGACCCAGATTGGAGCCCCTCCCGCCCCAACCATCACGGGCTTTGAACCCATTTCCCTTGCAGAGCGTCTGAAATGCCAGGTCAGCTTTCGGTCCGGCGGCCCCATATCCACTGTACCGGTAACGCCACCTAATTGATTCTTGATCCCTGCCCCGTGAGGTCTAATACGTTCCAGTTAATGTTTATTCTCCTGTAATTAAAGAATCGGGTATCGATCCTATGGTGTTGGGTGAGCTGTCGCAGCCATTAAAGCTGTTTCATATTATCCCTTTGAGGTGCAAAAAAAAAAAAACTTACAATATTGATTAGTGAAATAATGGAGCATCGCATGACTGTACAGTGTTCCTTACTTCATCATCAGCTAATAGCAGAGAAGAGAATCATTTCTGGTTGGCTGTAGAGGAGCGTTTGCATCCGCAGGCTAACGGTTCGGTCGATCAGACTTTTTCTTGCACGCCTGGGAGATCACAGGGATAAGTCCGTGTTCCCACTTATCCCATTTGTTTGTGCGTATTCCCTCGTCCTGCCCACAGGGGGCGAGTGGCACCTGAAGTACGAGCGCGCCATTCGGGAGGTGGAGTTCACCAAGAAGCGGCTGCAGCAGGAGTTTGACGACAAGCTGGAAGTGGAGCAGCAGAGCAAGAGGCAGCTGGAGCGAAAAGTGAGTCAGCGTCCCCCCCCCAACACTCGCCTGTATCCATATCTTTGTGGGGACCGTCCATTCATTCTCTATGGGAAAAACCCTAATCCCAGAGATGAAAACCTTAACCCCCACCCAGTCCGACCTTTAACCATAAGTAAACAAACACACAAGTTTTTTTTTAGTTTTTTAATTCATTCACATTCACAGATTTTTATAAAATCAAGCTTCCCCTTCTGCAGACTGAAAATATGGTCCCCACAACATCAACAGAACGGGTTTTTTATCACATTGTGGGGACGAATTGCGACAGTCTAACGAGAGCCTGCTGCTATCCCCCCCTCCCCCACGCAGCTGACAGACCTACAGGCGGACGGCGAGGAGGTGCAGCGCTCGGTGCAGCAGCTGAAGAAGAAGTGCCAGCGGCTGACGGCCGAGCTGCAGGACACCAAGCTGCACCTGGAGAACCAGCAGAGCAGGAACCACGAGCTGGAGAAGAAGCAGAGGAAGTAAGCTCCAGTCCAGGAAAATGCGTGACATCGTGACATAGCAGGGGGCAGCTAATTCAGTGCCCAGGGAGCGGTGCCTGGGGGCGGTACCTTGCTCAGGGTACCTCAGTGGTACCTTGCTGGTTGGGGATTCAAACCAGGCCACCACTGTCCCTCGTGCACAAACATGCTGGTACACTTTACACATGTACAAGTGTATTTACACAGATGTGCACGTGTAGCCGCAGACACACTGTACACCATAGTGTACACACATTATTCATGTCACACGCACAGCCTTTAGAATATCCTTACACCTGCATAAACGTTCAGAGGCGCATGATCATACACCCACGTCGCCTCAAACCCGTGTTCTGTTAGTCCTTCCTCCTCCCGCAGCTGCTGTCAGCCAGGAGCACATTTAAGCTGACAGCTTGAGGGAGGACTGGCGTGGCGTATGACTTAGGAAAGTTCAGCGTGACCTTTTCAGTCTCCGGCATCAGCCAAACGGCAGCGCGGCGAAGGCCTTTAAAGAGCACTGTGAGCCCAGCGCTCGGCTCGACGGGCCCCTCCCCACCCGCCCCTCCCCCCTGAACGGGAATGGCTAACCGGATGCAGCACCCTTTTTTGGATTCTGCGCCGTCAGTGTGCGTCCCTGAGAACTGGGAACAAGCGAAGAACAAAAACCACGGCGAGAGCGACCCCTAGGGGGCAGACTCTAGCAGTCGAGGGTTTAAGCCACGAGACCCGTTTTATCCGAAAGCCGGCCCAGCATCGTGGAAGTCACAGGGCTGTGAAATGGGAATTTGGGGGATGGGGGCTGGCTGCAGTAGATGAGGACAAGGCAGGCGGGGTGTGGGGGGGGGGTGGGTACTGGCCATCAGGCAAGTTCTTGGATTTGTGACCTGAGTGTGACGTAAGAGGCTATGAGGAACGGCTGGGTCTTCACAGGTCCTGGGTGCGTATCGCTCTCATCCACACATTTGGAACCATCAGTGCTTTCTGCCAGACTCCCGCAGAATATTTAATTTTTAATTGTCAGGTTTCCCTGCACTGCTTCTGCAGAGCTGAAGGACGTCGTCAGGGGACATAGGGCATAGGGTGCTGTTTTTAGCAGACTGCTAAGCTGTGGGTCCCCAGACAGGCCACTATATCTCAGCTCTCTCATTATGCTAATGTGTCTTTGACAGCATATCAAAGGGGGGTAAATATATGGAATATCAAAACATGTCAATATATATAAGCTGCAGATGAAATTTTAATGAAGCAATGCTTCTGAAACTGCTTTCCCCGGCGATTTTAGTTATTGTGTCAGATATTTCGGCTGCGGTCACAGGTTAGAGGTGACATGAGCCCTCGGGGGAACTTTGCAGGTTCGACTCGGAGCAGTCGCAGTCCCAGGAGGAGGTGCAGCGGGAGCGGACGCAGCGGGAGAAGCTGAGTCGGGAGAAGGATATGCTGACTGGGGAGGTGTTTGGCCTGCGGCAGCATCTGGAGGTGGGAGAGGCACGCCGTTGTTGAAGACTCTGCAGCAACCGTATGAGTCTTAGGCGTTAAGTCTAACTCTGTTCCCCCCCCGCCCCCGAAACAACAGGAGAAGGACCTGGAGTTGTGCGCTGTCAACTTGAAGGTGGAGCAGCTGGAGGCGGAGCTATCGGACCTCTCGTCCCAGGAGTCCAAGGACGAGGCCTCGTTGGCCAAGATCAAGAAGCAGCTTCGGGATCTGGAGGCCAAGGTGAAGGACCAGGAGGAGGAGCTGGACGAGCAGGCCGGCACCATCCAGATGCTGGAGCAGGTACTTGGGTTGTCATTTCGGGGACCCGGAGATGAACCGGCCGCTGTCATGTCAGTATCCAGGATACAGTGTCTTTCTCGTGACTTGCCGCGGCCTCGTAGGCGAAACTACGCCTGGAAATGGAGACGGAGCGGCTACGGCAGACTCACGCCAAGGAGGTCGAGGCCAAGGACGAGGAGGTGGAGGAGATACGGCAGTCGTGCTGTAAGAAGGTACGAGATCGGGGCTCAATGCTGGAGTCGCTGTGGCGTCTCGCACTCCTGAATCGGGTCAGTGTGGAGACCCGATGTGAGAATTGAGTTTTTCTTCTTTTCAACTACACAAAACTCTCAGCCGGGTTAGTGGGGGCCTGGTGTACTCACCCCTGAAAGTGGTTTTCTGTGAGAAGTCGAAGTGCCTGTGTGTGTGTGTTTGATGCGCATCAGGTCTTGGCAGTGGGGGGGGGGGGCACACAGTATCTACTTCTCAATATCAAATTTTTTTTCCAACTGCCTTTTTAACTACGTTTCATTCATTTAGCTTCTATCTAAAGTGATGTACATTCTTGAGAGCAGAGTCAGATGGGGTTAAGGGGCCCGATCAAGGGTCCAGTGGTGATATCCCTCCTTCAGTCCTGGGATTTAAGCTGACGACCTTCCGACACGTCATCCTTACCGGCCGAGCTGCACACCGCCCCCATAAGTCACCTGTTCACTGACATCACCGCGACTCACAATCACTGCACTCAGTGTGGTTTCCTTCAGCTCTGGATTGCAGTGCGCATACTGTATGTGAATGGGGGGGGGGGGTTGATTTATGTGTCCGAAACTACCGTCATGCGGTGGCTGCCAGTCTCACCCACTCAACCACCCCCCCCCCACCCCGTGATTGACAGCTGAAGCAGATGGAGGTGCAGCTGGAGGAGGAGTACGACGAGAAGCAGAAGGTCCTCCGGGAGAGGAGAGACCTGGAGGCGAAGCTGCTGACTGCTCAGGACCAGGTGACCCTCAGCTGTGACTCTTAACTCGGGTTGCTAAATACGTGAACTGCTCTGCGCTCCTGTAGGATTGTGGGATAGCGGCTGGTTTAGAGGCCTACAAAGTGGGCCTCTCACCCGCAGTGGTCACATGTCACAAATCTGACACAGGAGACTAGTGACCATATCAGTAAGCGCAGTGGTGATCAGGTTGAGACATTGAGGTCCATTTATCATGGGCTCTGTGGGTTCTGAGCCGCTTGTGGACTGTCTGGATCTCCCCCCCCCCCACACAGGTGAGCCACAGGGACGTGGAGACGGAAAAGCGCCTGAGAAAAGACCTGAAACGCACCAAGGCCCTGCTGGTCGACGCCCAGATCATGCTGGACCACCTGAAGAACAACGCACCCAGCAAGCGTGAGATAACACAGCTCAAAAGCCAGGTGTGCACCCCCCCATCCCTAAAACACCATCCATGTTTACTGCGGGTTTAAACCCGGATGCCCAGTGCACTGGAGTTCACTGGACTTGCCCTTCCGTCCTACAGCTGGAGGAGTCGGAGTTCACCTGTGCGGCCGCCGTCAAGGCCCGCAAGTCCATGGAGGCCGAGATCGAGGACCTGCACGTCCAAATGGACGACATCTCCAAAGCTAAAAGCGCTGTGAGTGCGACGGCCTTCCCCCCACGTCGCCGGGGCCACACCCCTGCTCATCATCGAGGGGGAACTTGAGATTCAGCTGCCGCAGTCTCCTCTGAGCTTGACACTGACAGGAAGTTGTGAGGAACTCGGAGATGACAACTATTTAGTTGCGTCACATGAGATACGGGCCCTGCTGATGCCCCCCTCCCCTCAGCTCTGCTCAGCAATAGCTCCTCCACCTCTTTTTGTTGGGGGGTGGCTCAGATTTAGCCATCGATTGCCATGGAACGATTTCCGCCCATAATGACATGTTTCAAAACCCATTTCGAACACGCCATATCACCTTGAAATACATTATGGCTTAATGATTCTGTCACTCTTTCTTTTTTTTCCCTCCCAGTCTTTACTGATGGGTGAAGAATAGAATTCATGTAGAAGCTCAGTGGCAGACTGCTGTAGGGCAGCAAAATGGATGGCTGGCTGTTTTAGGCTCTCCGATTCAGGGGGCTTTAGATGCTCGCTTTTGCTGTTCTCTTCCGCTGTGCCAGTTTTGAAATTTCCGCGCTCTGTTAAGCAACACCGATCTGAAATGTGCCCGAGATCTCTCCACATTCCCTCTACGCGGTCCTGAGATTCGTTTGTATGAGCGTCAGGCACTTGTGGGGGACAGATGTTGATAGAAAACCAATGGCGATGTCCCCATGAAACAAATAATGTACATTTTCCTTCCTTCATCCATCCATCCAACCATCCATCCATCCGTCTACACCCAACTGCTTTTTTCCCCCTCTGGAGTCAGAGGAATAGAGTAACCCGACAACATTGTGCTGCTACACAGGAATAGCACATGCAAAGCCTGCTGGGATAGCGGTGGCCAGAGGTAGCCTCTGGGACCCCACATTACCCTTTAAACATGCCGTATGTGTGCAAACATGTGACCATCCTTTGGAGTCGTAAGTGTAAATAAATTTGGCTTCGTTTCAGGATAACACCATACGCTCAGGCCGTTCCGCCTTCCATGGTCTTTTCGCGACGCTCTAGTTAGATGGATGTCTTTTGTGTTGGTGTGTATTAGCGGTCATTTAATTTCCCAAGTATGTGCTAATGGATTCATTAGCCTGTCTGATATTCACATTTTCCCCCGCCTTATTAATACGTCCTGTTCCTGGCTCCTGAGAAGTGCCTTTTCTATATTGTTGAGGTAATTATCAAAATGAAATTAGTCTTCCAATTTGTCTGGGGGAGTATGCAACTGCAGCACTACGGTAGGCAGCAGCTAATTAGCTTCTCTGACTATGGTTGCTAATATGTGGGCCCTCCCCCCCCTGCCTCCAGTCTGACGGGGGGGGGGCTGCCGTACAGCCCAGGATTTATTTGGTTTTCCAGGTTCATTTGAGCCTCATTATCTGCTATTTTCATGTTATTATTCGGGGCAGCATGGAGGGGGGGGGCAGTAGTTACTACTCTTGCCTCGCGCCTCTAGGACCGGGGTTCGAGTCTCCGCCACGGCTCCGTGTGTGTGGAGTTTGCATGTTCTCCCCGTGTCTCCGTGGGGTCTCCTCCAGGTTCCCCGGTTTCCGCCCCACAATCCAAAGACATGCTGCAGTTAATTGCAGTTGCCAGATTGCCCGTAGGTGTGAATGGTGAGTGTGCCCTGTGACGGGTTGGCCAGATTGCCCGTAGGTGTGAATGGTGAGTGTGCCCTGTGACGGGTTGGTGCCCCGTCCTCGATTATTCCCTGCCTTACGCCCATAGCTTCCGGGTTAGGCTCCGGAACCGCACAACTCTGCATAGGACATGTGGGTGTGGAAGATGGATGGATACATTATTATTATTATTGCTATTAATAATAGTAATAATAATAATAGTGGTTAATTGTGTTTAGATGTGCAGCGTTGTAACCATCAAGCAGCCACAGCATTGTTTCTCACACTTTTGGCGCTTCTCCACCACCAGTGTGAGCAGAGTTGTACCCAAGCTGTACCGCAAAGAGGTGATTTTCCATTGTAAATTATGGAAGCTTTACCCGACCCTTATCCGCGCTTATGTGGCCCTGCTTACCATCAGGGCCAAAAGTGTGACTAAACAGAGCTGTTTGTCTCACTACCATCTGATTGGTCAAAATGCACCGAGATACCAGTGATCTGCGTCAATTAGTATGGATTATATTAAGGAAAAAAAGGGCATATTCTATATATTATTATTAATTATTAGTAGTATCGCACATTACGATGTTTTGATGCAGTCCCAATAACACAGAATCTGAAATTTCCAGCCACTCACTTAAAAAGGGAATGGCTGAATGGAAAGGATTCGTAATGCAAATTTTACGCAACCGAATGCTAATTCCATTAGCGTTAGCCAACATAACACAGAAATTCCCATAGACATGCTAGTGGAAATTACCACATAGTAAATCTGAACAGTAAATCTCTTTCATTTTATGTGACTGCCTCTCTCCGAACCAGGCAGCGCCTTTATTGAGCTGACCCCCCTGCGGTGGAAAACCAAAGCGAGCTGGAACCGTGCTGTAACTAGTATCTCTTTGCGGTGCGGGTAGGGAAAGGCCTGGTTCCTCTGTGCCAGTGGAAAAGCAGCATTTGCTCCTGAGAGCTTAATCTCCCGGCCATGTTACCCCCCCCCCCCGCTTCCCAACTTCTGCCTGTCAGTTGGAGGAGCAGCTGAGTCGGGTGCAGCGGGAGAAGAACGAGCTACAGTCGCGCATGGAGGAGGACCAGGAGGACATGAACGAGCTGATGAAGAAGCACAAGGCCGCCGTCGCCCAGGTAACCCCCACCCCCTCGACCCTGCGTATACCCTTCAGTGCGCTGCCCCACTCCCACAGTACTGCTGCTCAAAGCTTTTCTCTTTCCAGTATTATATTCAAAATAATATAGGTTGCTTTAATGACATTTCTATCCATTTATACAGCATGTTAACTTAGTAGAACAAATTAAGGCTAAAAGTACAACAGGAGCAACTCTCCTGGGTCTTGAACTACTAACTTTTGAAGTCTTTTTCTTTAATTACTGCACCACCTACTGTCCTATTTTGCTAATGCTGACTTGGGGCTTTTTACTGAGCCCAACACCATAGGGTTTTATTGGTTTAAGATTACGTAACTTAAATAGTTTTTCTATCGCTTATCTGAAATTATCCAAAAGACGTTACAAATGGAAAAAAAAAACATTCTTTCATCCTCTTTATTAACGTTCCTTCTCCCTATTAATTCTTTAATCCTTGAATGTTTTCTCACGTTATTCATTGCTTCGATCTCCCTCTGCGGCCGCCTCGCTTTCGGTGACTGCGATCGACACTGCGTTTGGCCGCTGACGATGTCCCTGTCCCTCCTTGCCCGACAGTCGACCCAGAACCTGGCTCAGATCAGCGATCTCCAGAGCCAGCTAGAGGAAGCCATGAAGGAGAAGCAGGAGATCCAGGAGAAGGTAACCCCCCCCCCCCGATATCCCCCAAAACATCTGGGTGTGGTCGGATGTGAATTACGCGGCTTTCTTCGTTCACTCGGCCCACCTGCCCTGATCTGCTAATTCTTTGATCCTGGACCGTCGTAAGTGCGCAACGGCCTTGTTGGGATCAAATGGCACTGGACCAGGGGCTTTTTTTGTACTTACCAACTCGCAGACCCCAGTTTGGCTGGATCTACGGCTCACCCTGGAGCTTAAGCGGGCGATGCCCATCTGGGATCGAGCCCTTTGCTGATAAGCCTCGCCTGGGTTCGAAAGCAAAGCCGGGGACTTTTAATGATACTGGTGAGGGATTTCCAAATCCCGCCCCCGGGATCCATAGCTGCTCATTACGGAGGCCACCCTTTCTCCCCATCCTTTCATGGATTTTGAAATAAATCGCTCCGGGCTGACAAAAAAAAAAAGCTGCTCCTTTTATGCTCTAAGAACAGCTTTTATCTGCAAATAGGAGCCTTGGAAAACCGCAAGCGTAACGAGTTTATAAAACATCAGCTTCACCTTCCTCGACGCGCTGTCGAGATCGTTATTAAACCCCTGGCTTCTTCACCGTGCAGCTCATTTATCAGAGACGCTGTCAGACGCCAAGATGGTTATTATTTTGCGGTGTTATTCATGCAAATGTTGCCGGTGTTCATCTGTGGATAAATTGAGTGTGTTTTTCGAGAGTCAGTGTGCAGGAAATCATTATTATTTCTCAAGGAATATTTTATGAAGTTGAAAGGTAAATAAAAACTTGCGGACCTTAAGTAATAGATCTGAAAGGTCTCTTATGCAGATAAAGAAGACTATTTTGGACAGATAAACTGGTATAAACAAATTAAGAGTAAAAGTAGGAAGGCTTACAGTGGGCGAGAATTCGAAGTGGGCGGATGTGAAGTTCCAGATATTTCGGCAGCGAAATACTGTCATGATGCCCATTAGAAGTAAGTTTATTGAAACTTATTTTCATCAATAAATCACTCATATGAGCATAAGTGGGCAAGATGTGGCAGAGTGGCGAGCGGCCTGCAGTCCATAAGACGGTTCCTTGGCGGCGAGTCAGGTTGTGGAAGCGCGGATTCGGTCAGAACCCACCTTCTGTTTCTGGGCTGGCTCAGCTCCAAGCCCTGCAGAGCCAGCTGGATTTCCAGGAGCAGTCCATGGTGGAGAAGTCACTGGTCAGCAGACAGGAGGCCAAGATCCGCGAGCTGGAGACCAAGCTGGAGTTCGAGAAGACTCAGGTCAAGCGTCTAGAGGTGAGCCGGGGCGGGGGGGAGCCAGCCTGCATGTGAGCTGAGAGGGGAGCGAGGAGGGTGGGGAGCGAGGAGGGTGGGGGGCGGGGATTAATTAATGAGCATGTGTAAAGGGATTAATAGAGACTTCCTCCAAATATATTCACCTTTCCTACACCTGCCTGCCCCTCCCCCCAACACTCTCTCCCCATTTTTTTTTTCCCACCGTCTCTCCGAGATTAATGCAATTTGGCTCCGAAAGCTGTTAGATTACGTTATGTCGCTTCTCATCTAACTTTAACTCTCCCATCTGTCTTGCGAGTAATAGCATATTTACTACATGGGCTTCTATTTACTAATTTGGTTATTTTGAATTTGCATCCGCTGATTTCTGGAGACGAAAGGGGAAACGTTTTTAATTTTGCAGCTTTCATAGAAAAAAGTAACGAGGAGGTACCTGTTCTGGCTTTGAAATGTTACCAGCCGCCTGCACCTACATCCACTCTTTTATTATGTGTCCAATACCACACAGCGTTAACCTGACTAAAGGTCTAGCGGCCACCCTCCTCTTGCATCGAGTCGTTGGATCAATGTTGTCAAAATAAATTCACCCAAATGTTTGCCAACCGGCTGTCTTACATGACCCCCACCCCTCCCGGCGCTCTAACCGTACACCCGGTTCACGGCGCTGTGAACTTTCAAGCTGTTAGGTAACGAAAGGTCACCGACCCCGCGTCTGTGTGGGAGGGATCGATGCAGTCTGCGGTTCGGAGGCGGTCAGGCAATCAAATGCGGTTTAAAGAGGTCGACTACGAAGGTTGAATCTCCATCTGCTGGTGCGTTGAATTGCTTAATTTAAGACGCGAGATTTAAAAAGAAAAAAAAAAAAACTTTTAAAAAAATGATTTTATATATGTATTTTTTAATTGTGGTGGATAAAGAAGTGGAGTGACAGTAGGTGGCTTCGAGTTCCGGTGTTTTGTCACCTGGTCTGCCTTTTTGCAGTTCCGGCTGTCTAATATAAGCTGATATTTGTTCAAGGCAAACAAAAAAATAAATAAAATCGCATTAAGGTCGCATAGGACCCACATTATTGCATGCAGGAGATGTCTCAACCTTTGGGACCCCGTTCAGTGTAAGTGTGTGTGTGGAAGAAGGGGACAGGATATGGATTTGACCCAGACAGCCTTGTGCATTTACATCTCGAAGCAGAACGGCCAGTTTCCCCAGAATTAACGAGGTGTAATAGCAGCTTGGAACTTAGGATTTTTGTCATGAATCTCTCATTCACGTAAATGCCGCGTTTAACCGCTCAGAGCCTGGTCGGCCGGCTGAAGGAGAACGTGGAGAAGCTGACGGAGGAGCGAGACCAGCGGACGGCCGGGGAGGGCCGGGAAAGGGAGCAGAACAAGCGCATGCAACGGCAGATCCGAGACATCAAAGAGGAGATCACCGAGCTAGCCAAGAAGGAGGCGGAGGCCAGCCGCAAGAAGCATGAGCTGGTAGGGCCTCCTCGTTTCTTCACGGGGGGGGCTACACTAAAAGTTCTGGCAAGGGCAGATGCTGTTACATTTTTATGAGATGCTGGGTCATCGCTTGATTTATCTGAATCTTTATGCATAAAGATTCCAGTATATAGAGTGTCTCAGATGTAACATCAAAGCTTTATTATTCAAGTGTTTCGATACCCAGTAGCTTTTGTTAAGAGATGTCAAAAAAATCCTTGATTCTTTTTTAGAAGCCCTTAAGCTGTCTCCCAGAAAGCGCCAATCAAACATTACTTCCGAGTGCTCCTGACAGTGCTATTAATTATAACGTAATTCGATTGATAATGTTTTTGACTAATTGGACTGATAATCAGCGATCATTGTTGCTATCATTGCAAATGGTTGTGACGTCAACCGGTTCCTACTGAAGTCTGCTTCTGGATAGGTGGTCAGTGGAGTCTTGTGGGTCTTTTAATCTGGTCAAGCAGAAGCTGGGGCTGAAGTTGCATCAGTTTGTTTGTCAAAGTGAGAAGCCTGGATGGCTAGGGGCTTGAGCATGAGAGGAGAGCTGGCCAGAGGAGCACTTTTGGTAAGCAGAATTGGCTTGGAGGGAAGGACTGGACTCCACGCGAAGATGCCCAGTGATGATGGTTAATGGTTCACATGGACAGCAGGGCGATCGCCATGGAAGCTGGAATGCATGAAGGAGCGTGACAAATCGTCCTCCAAATCAACCTTTAATGTATCGCTTGAGTTAAATGGCCCGGTGACTGACAGCACACATTAATTTCACCGCTAATGGATTTTGAAGCTTCACTCCTCAATCCATGTCCCTAATACATGAATATAAGCAACACGTCATTAGACATGCAAACATCATTCAGTTAAATTTGCTTCATATAAAGGGATGGGGCCGTGGTACATTGGCCTCAACTGGAAGCTGATTGGCCTCCAGTGTGACCCCTCACCATCACTCATCGATTTAAAACATATCATTGGCTAATGTTAATGTTGGCCCCTCTATATGAGATATGGCTCCTCTTATGCCCCCCACCTTAAAAAAAATATCTTAGTGCGTTTCTCAATACTAAGAACACAAAGATGGTACTCGCGGTCTTGGTGAGACAGGTCTTGCTAACTTGCCTTCCGAGAACGAACTTGGGGTGCAACGAATCATGGGATTGGTCTCATTCGGCGAGGATGCAACCGATGTATCCATGATATTTGGGGTGGGGCAAGAACGACATCCAGGGAATTTTACCACCCTCTGTATTCTGTTCTTGAGTATTGGAACTGGTCTTCAGCAATGGAAGATGACGTGGGTACAACAGAACAAAAGCACGCATGTCAGGAAACACCCATAGTCACATGAAGAATATTTTTTCAACTAAGCACAGCTGGTCTCAACGGGCTATTAAGGCAATGCATTGTGGGTCAAGTACTCAGTATATAACTTCTTCCCCGCAGGAAATGGACATCGAGAGCTTGGAAGCCGCCAACCAGAGTCTGCAGGCAGATCTTAAACTCGCTTTCAAACGGATCGGCGACCTGCAGGCCGCCATCGAGGACGAAATGGAGAGCGACGACAACGAGGACCTCATTAACAGGTCCCGAGCCGTCCACACATTGTCCATCTGTGCTGTGATACCCCGGTCTTCCAGGAGTACCGTGGCTGCAGGAAGTGACATCGTGACTGCTGCCATCCCTTACCGTAATGATTACTCCGGACTTCATATTCACAGATAACTTGGAAATTACCCAGCACAGATATTTTCCTGTAGCTAATACAGCCGGAATGAGTCTGGCATATCCTATTTACATTTCCGGAAAGATTTGTCTTGGAAGCAGCAGCGCTTAATCTCAATATTTAAATAGTCTTTTCTCCTTTTCCGTCAGCTACAGCTGTCCCAGTTTAATCAGGATCCGTCCTCCTCGTTTAGCATTTGTTTATTTATAGTTCCTGACTCCTGCTGAGGCTCGTTTGTACAAGAGGCACAGCTCTGCTGCCTCGCCGTAGTAAAACTAGTTAGTAAAAAGTCAGTCGGCATTACCATACGCTAACTTGTCAGCAAAGCAGTGTGGGCGGGCGGGATAGGGTGCGAGGGAGTACTGGTGAGTCACAGTCCAAAAATACAGAGGAAGACATGACTCCTGCCCATGGGAACATCGGACCTCTGAATATACGCGGACATCTGCCTCTGCCTCTATTTGATCCTGCTGTGTGTTTATGCTCCCGTGACGCATTGCTGATTCGGTGTGGCTCTTTTTTTTACTTTACTTTCTCACTTTTCCTTTCTTCCCCCTCCTCATTGTCTTGGTGTGTCTCGTCCATTTGTCACGAGCCAGTTTACAAGACATGGTGACAAAATACCAGAAAAGAAGGAATAAAACGTGAGGGCCACATTTCTTTTACTTTTAAAACTTTTATGTTTGAACTTTATAGCTCTTCACCAGCGAAAGGTGCAGTATTCACTAAGCCTCCCCAAAACAGCAGGGACTCCTGCTTAATTTCTGGCCAGAGAATCTGGGATCCCAGGTTCCAGATCCTTGGGTGTTTTGGAAACAAATTGGGAACAAATGTTTAAAGATGAGATTGAGCGTGCACATGAGCGTGCACAGAGAAGTGGACACTCACCAGCAGTGTATTAATTCCATCTCAGGAGGCTTCAGTGATACTGCACCAGTGATCTTTTCCTCACTGGCCAACCCCCCCCCCCAAGGCGCACGCACCACCGCATGGTCCTGCCTGCTCGGTGACACGCATGCACCAAACAACATGCTTCCACCTGCATCCAAACCCCGCCCACCCCCATCTACCCTCCTACTTCCCAGTTTGTTAGGGAACTGTTACAGAATGTGCTGCCGCGAGGGGCTGATCTGTCTGGGCCCCTGCAGAACTGCGTGTGGAGCCCCCTTTTCCACCCTTACCCTCCCTGTCTGCCCGGTCATGATCTGTGCCCATTAAGGCCAGAGACAATCACACAGATTGCGAGGAGCCGTCCACACTGTTTCTGGCCTGGGCTCCTATATTTGCTCGGTTGGATGGGAGCAGCACCCCCCCCCCCCCCCATCCATCCGTCTTTCAAGCACACCCCCTCGATCACGGACATGCTGCACATGCAGCACGGAATCGCTGCCTCTCTACGTCCAGCTGTCCCAAAGTAGGCGCCTACTGTACCTCAGTCGCTGTACTTTTCTGCTTCTTCTGTGCTTTTATTTTTAAACTGTGGCTTTTTATTTTTAAACTGTCACGGCGCCGTCTGACCAAGCGTAACGCATTGCAGCACCGGGGAAAATAACTGCTGGCGTAATGCAGATGGGGATGCGTCACACTTTACGGGTGTTTGCTGGGCAGCTTGATTAGTTGAGCCCTGCCTGCACTTTCCGAAACGCGTCCGTGTGCATTTCGCGATATCCTCAGACTCTATAGTCTGTGCCTCTCAGCTGCAGAGAGCGAGCTTTCATTGACTGATACCATTTTTAAAAGGGCCAGTGCTTTTCCTTGGGGAATGTAGTTTTATTACATGTAGAATGTAGTTTAAATTAGCGTGGTATATTCCCCAGTGCTGCAAGATCTGTAGGTCTCTCCGGGGGTCCCTGCTGACTGTGTGCCGAGAATTTTCCAGAGCTCTGGTACCCGGTGGCAGCCCTTCCTCGAGGCGGGGAAGATGCCCCAGAATAAAGCGAGGAGATTGGAGAGGAACCTTAAAAAAAATAATAAAAAAAAATAAAGAGCTCTCTGAGTAATGAAAAGAAGACACTGGTTTAGGCTTAAGGGAAGCACTTCACTTAAATGACCTCCAGATACAATTTCAGCGCCCCTTTAAAATCCCCCTAGCAGCTGATAACAGGTCTCCATTGACATGATACTGACAATATTTGTTTCAGTTTTTTTGGCCGGTTTACCCTTATATGTAAGTCCATGCCTGTGTGTTAATTTATGATGTGAATGTTTCTGCTAAACGCTTTGAAGAATAGCTGTGGGAGTATTATATGGGTCGCCACACAAACAGCAGCGCGTGGGGGGGGGGGCAAGAGCTGCCTGAACGGGACGGCGAATCCATAGGTGTTAATGATAAATGTAATAGTGTGTAACAGAGATGTACAACCGGTGGCAGCAGACTGTCACACACAATTAATGTCCCCGCGCGCGGTCTTTCTGTTTGTTTGCTCCCCTCAGCTTCAGGACTGCTTAACTAATGGTACACGACCAAGAACATAAATTGTGTGTGACACCGTGTGCAAAGCACTCGATTACAGAGCACTCCCCCGACCTGGAGATCTGCCCTCCCCGCCCAGGATGCCCACCGACGCCCCCCCACACCCACACCCTTGCCCGTCTCCTGAGAAACGCCGAGGGTCTGTGGTGATAGACCGAGGCCTGCTTCAGCAACTGGTGATTCAGTTCCATAGCCCAGGTCACTGGTCTGGAGTTTGCATAGAAATTATAGGTTCCCAGTTGGTGCGTCACTAGGGCTGTTTTATGAGGGGGCTTTAGTCCCCTTAAAATATTATCTACCCCCCCCCCCCAAATAAATGTACACTAATTAAATAGTGTGCTCTCATCCATTTGCATTCAAACCAGACCCCCCCAATAAAGGCTAAGCTCCCCTTTTTCATAAAAGTCTAGTGGCGCTCCTACTTCCCAGTAGAATGGATAAAAGACTGTCAGGTCTAACTCGGGGCGAAGGAACAGGGCCGTTAATAAGATGTACGTGTGATTCGCCTGGGCTTGGGGAAGCAGACCTTCCAGCTGGGCGAACCCACTGATTGAAGCTCTACAGCCATGTGGAGAAACTGTAGGAGCGTAAAATGCTGTAATTTCCGTTCAGGCCCGGTACTCTTCATGCTGGGTGTGACACAGGGGCTGACGGGTTTACGTCACCTTTGCTCCGTAGCTGCTGGACAGCATGCTCCCGAAGGGTCTCCATCCGTCCACTTGGTTAAGGCACCTGGCCCTTGTTGGGCACAGCCGTGACGGTCCATGATTTTGGGTTCCGGTGTCGGCGATCTGGATCTCTGACTTGCAAGCCCTTGCTGCCCTTGGCGGTTCTGCCCGCAAGAAAATTCCGGAGACACCAGGCGCCCTCATGTTCTTCTTGAGTTTTAACCTTGGTTTATATTCTTTTTGTACCACTGCCTTGGCTCGCTTGAAACGACATTGTTCACATTTGCCATGTGTCGTGGCGCCTTTGCAGATGTGACATATGGGACTTGGTGTAGAAATGGGACTGAGCAAATAAAATTACCTCCAAGTTACCGCCTTATAATAAAAGCTCCTTCGGTAAAATCAGTATTTCTGAAGTACGACAGACGCCAAGCCTTAGCCACTTTGAAGCCAGAGATATTAATTATGTGTGTTCTCTCAAAACCAGCTCCCCCTCCCCCTATCCACCCCTCAAGTGAAATCTGATTTATTTTTCTAAATTAAAAAGAAGAACAAATAAACTCCCTTCCCGAATGGCGGCTGAAGCGCCTCCCATCACACCTCCGTCGCCCTTTGTTCACTCGAGTCTCACTGATGGGGCTCCGGGAGGGGAGGGCAGACTCGTTTGCACCCCCCAGAGTGTTCCGCAGAGCAGGACCTTAGTAGCTGGGCCCACGTTAATTACAGGTTTGCACCGGAGCCTGCTTAACTGTCGTGTCGTGCCGTTACGGTAAGATTAGCAGAGTGCTTTGAGGTTCGTGTTTTACGTTTCCCGGAAAGCCGTCCGTTCGCTGCCACAAATGCACTTTTGTAGCTTTCTGTCTTTCTGGCAAGGACTCCTTGTTTTTTCTGTACTTGGACCATAGAGAGTTCAGTGAACCCCCCCCCCCCCTTCATCATTCTAAGTTGGTTTTCACTCATCTTCACAGCCAAAGCTAATGTCATGATTGCAGTGCGTCCATGCCCTGATAAAAGAACTTAATGGATGAGTTTTTCTTTTTGTTGTTTTTTTTCCCCCCCTGTTCCATCTAGTCACTTACATGTTATTTTGCTAAACCTTTGTTAAGTGCTGCAGTGCTGCCTCTTGGCTGGGAAGGGCACTCTGTAAAAAAATGAACAGAATTGAATTATCCGTCCATTATATAGTCAAGCCTACTGGTTTTGAGATTCACTCTTTGTGCAAAGCTATGGGGTTTTATTTTTTTCCTTTCCCTCTGTCTCTAATATGTCACCACATGAAGGAAATGTAAATATTTCTGGAAGAGGCCTATTTTCTTGTTCGCCGGAATAGATATTTTTCCCTGGAGAGTGCAGAGGAGAAGTTGAAGCTGGGGGGAAAAAAAAATGAAAGCATTCTAGTTTGTGGAGCTCCCTTTTGCTCGACTCCCCTTTTTGTGTGCCGCTCCCCGGCGCGTCGCTTCTGAGTGTATAACCGGTACCAGGCTGCCGACTAACCGCAAAGCCGCGATTGCAGGGGCCGCTGTTACTGGCCCTTTAACCCACACGCTTGACCCCGCCCACCACTAACGTCTAGCTCAGCTCAGCTCAGCTTCCCCATTCTTCAAACTGACTTGGGTTCTCTCTGCCCCTCCCCCGCCAGTGAGGGGGGTTCAGGAACAGACTCTGAGGTGGAGGACCGCGTCGATGGCGTCAAGTCTTGGCTGTCCAAGAACAAGGGCTCTGGCAAGAACCTGTCCGATGATGGCAGCCTAAAGAGTTCCAGGTAAACCCGTAACCCCGCAGAATCCCGCTGCCCATGGGCTCACTTGCTCCCCGCTCCAGTGGTGTTCCTCCTAGAACAGTGACCCAGCGCCTTAGCACAGCCCCTCGGCCTCTTGGAGACAAAGTGAAGGATCACCCTAAGAGCACACACCTCCTCGCACTTGCTTAGACATTGATAGTTGATCATTGATGCGTTTATCTGATGACCAGCCTCCAAAACGGAGCCCCTTCCCACATAGATTTATTGACGTATCCCCCCCCCCCACCCCATCACAGATCGATAACCCTGCCTGGTACCTGACAGGTTCAATGGTACCATTCTCATGTCTTTCAGAGAAGGTCTAATGGCTGTTAGGGCTTCTGTTTATTTGTTTATTTTTAAAGGGACGGTGGTTTTGATCTTCCCTCCGCTTCTGCCACTCAAATCGACTGGACAACGTTTGAGACACTTTTATAGACACGGTTAATTAAAGAATCGTGAAAGTGCAGGCATATGGTTGTTACCTCTGTGTTATAAGAAGAATGTTTTGTTGGGTTGGCCCCCCCATCCTAGGTTGTTCCCTGCCTTGCACCCATAGCTTCCAGGACAGGCTCCCGACCCCCCGCGACCCTGCATAAGTCAGGCGCGTATAGAAATTGGATGCATATTTAGAAGGTGTTTAATATTTGCAATGTTTTTTGAGCCAGCCTGTGCTAAGCTGCACATTCTCCTTTTCCAAGCGATAAGAAAGGGCTGAATCAAAATCCTCAGTTGCGTTACACCACTGAACCTTTTCATTAAAATTGATTCATCCTCTGTATTGTCCTTATGCTCAGTCATGCTGAACTCATTACACCGAGGGCCTGGGCTTGATTTCCTTAAATTCTGTAGTGAAAAACCTTTTGCTGTATTTTTGATTGAACACTTCTCTCGCTTGGAATTCAATTGTATAATCTACCCCCCACATTTATTTGTTTGTGAACAAAAGCACCTTTCCAGTTTTTAGTTTCTCTCTCACCTCCTTTATTATCCAGATGAAAAAAAATATTCAAAACTATTCCTCTTGTTTTTGTTCTTAAATGTCATCCCTCCTTTTTGAGCGTGTCACTCATCCATCGCTTCCCTTTCTGTTCCATTTCCTCCATCTTCGTTTGTGGTCTTATGCCGTCTACGTTTGTCCTCATTTGACGACATCCTCCCCAGATATGCCATCAACGTAGATGGCAAGGAAGGGAAGGAGGGCAAAGAGGGCAAGGAATGGAAAGATGGTAACGGCAAAGAAGTAGAGCAGAGCAGACCTGTGTCCGTGATGAGTTCACTCAGCTACAGGAAGCGCACCAGCTTGAAAGACTCCATAGGGGGCCAGGGAGACGACAGCTCCCTCTTTAGCGCCCTGAAGGAGCAGTCGGAGTGCCAGGACCTGTCCGCGTTCCGCAAGGCGAAGGCTAAGTCCTCCGACGGCCCGGATGACGCCCACTCTGTCAGCTCCTGGAGAAGATCCCAAGCCGGGGACGAGCTGGATGACCGAAGCTCTGTCATTTCTCACGCCTACTCCGAGGCCACCAGCCGGGCCAGGAAGGGGCTGGACAGCCGTTGGTCTGAGTTCGACAAGGAGTCCACAGTCTCCTCATTTGCTCCGAGCCGGGCTTCTGCCCGTCGTGGGCTGGACTTAGATGATGACGGTAAGTCTTCCTTCAGCTTCGGGGGCTCCAGTCCTCACAGCCTGCGCCGCAGCAACTCCTCCCGCCTGGACGACCGACGTAGCGACACCTACGGCTCAGCTGTCAGCCCCAGCCTAAGCAGGCGTTCGGGGGGGCGCAGCCCTGGCAGTGTGAGCCGCGCCGACTCTCGCATGTCCCTGAGTCGCAGCTGCCGGCTCAGCGAGTTTGATGATGACGCTATGAGCGTGGCGTTTAGCGAAGGCCGCTCCAGCGCCTACAGCCCCCACTCATCTGGACGAAGCTTTTCCATGCCGCCTCAAGCCCGGGCCACGGACTCCGACCCCCCCGACACATCTGATATCAAGCCGGTCGCCCACCGGAACTACCTGGACCCGGATCTGGAGGCGGCCATCAACGAGGTTCTGAGCTTCAAGCCCATCAAGTTCAAGAGGCGGAGCCTGGAAGACTCCACAGAGGAGGGAGAAGGCGGGGCGCCGGGCGAGGATGATGAGGACCGCCGAAGCGTGCGGAGTGCCAAGAGCTCCCAGGGTGACCGCGAGGCCGGCCAAGGCTCCTCCGGCGTGCGCCGCTCTGCCTCGGCCCTGGACTTCAGCCGCTCAGCCAGCAGCTGCAGCGGCCGCAGCAGCCGGAGCCACAAGACCAAGAAGAAGAAGAAGAGGAGCCGAGGGTCGCACAGCTCCTCACCGGATGAGCGCCGCAAGAAGGGCTCCAAGAAGAAGTCAAAGAAGAAGTCCAAGAAGAAGGAGACCGACTCAGAGTCATCCTCGTCCGAGTCGTCGTCCTCAGAGTCAGAGTCGGATTCCTCCAGCTCCGGGGCCTCCACCATCTCATACCGCAGCTCCAGTAGCATCAAAAAGGGTCCTGGCCGGCCGGCCTCCGGCTGCGAGGAGGATGACGACCCGACAGCCTCAGCGGGGGGCCCAATGCTCAGCAAAAAAGAAGAGAAGAAGCGGAAGAAGAAGGTGGACAACGTGATGATGAAGTACCTCTACAGGCCTGACAGTGACTAAAGCTGGCAGTAGGTCTCGCCTGGTCTGCGGTGAGGCATGACACCTAGACTTGCTGTGACACTAACCATCGCCAGGCTCTGCTCCCAGCAGCGCTGTGTTACTGGTCGTTTACCCAAAGGTCATTATCTTTTGTATGTTAATTGCCACTGTTTGAACCGTGAACTAACTTTGGAGTCGAATCAAATTATCTCCAACATAACAGCTATTTTCACATTGCAGGGCATTTTGAATTTCATTCAGCAGGTGAAATCTGTTCAAGCTGCTTGGCTCAAACTGTAGGCGTATCAATGTAGGCGAATTACTGTTTTTTTTTTTTATTCTCCTAAAAATACATAATGGAATAATGGATACAACATTGTGTGTTGTATTTAAAGAAATTTTCCACAAAAGGTTAGGGCATTAAATGAGTGCGATTGCAACAACTAACTTACTAATAAGCACTGGTGTGATTTACAACCTTACTACAAGAATGGAAATAACTTGGTACATCAGACCCAATATCTATATTTTCTTTCTGCATTTAATAAAGCACTACAGGCATAATCAAATGAGCACATTGATTCGGAAAGCCACCGCTTATGTTACAGGGAGACGATTGGCTGATTGTAACCTGAGGGTTGCAATATTTGAGCTACACGAGAACTTTCGAATGGGCAGTATATGGATGGAAGAATTCAGGGGTTGAGAATCTATACATTATAGCGTTCGGGGCATGGGAGACATGAAGGTGTTTGTCCATGGTTGTTGTAATTAATTTGCATGTGATAAGAAAGTTTGATGTTCTTTTATAGACTGATTTGTGATGATCAGTTTTCATGCTAAACCTTCTCCAAGTTTTGAATTGATTTCATAAAATGCTCTGCATTAACTTTGAAAGGATACGCTTACCTTTTTCTTTTGTTCAGAAAATACTTCGGACTTTAGAAATGAAAATTTCTTTCAGATGAAAGGTGTGGGTTTCTTTAAGAGGCTGTGTTTGTTCGTTTGTTTTGTTTTGCTTCCTCACGGCATGGTGACAAGTCTTCAGCAACTCTGCATGGACTTTGAGTTGATATTTACTCCCGATTGCATCAGTCTTGCACTTGTTGTCGCCAAACTGACTGAAAGCAAGTTAACTCAACCCTTGTTTAACATATGATGGGATGGGAGGAAGTTTTAAAGAATTATGTAAATCTCAGATGCTAACTGAAATGTCCTCTTGACTTCCCCTCCTGTAGCCCGCCACCCAGTCGAAAGCGATTTGGCCTGGATAGATCTGACGAAGAGGAGGAAGATGAGGAAAAAAAGGAAGGGGGGGCGTCTCGCAGCTCCTACCGCCCCCGATACTCCCGCCGCAGCTACCTGAACGACAGCGACAGCGAGGGAAAGCCGTCGGAAACAACAGCGTAGCAGCCTCCCCCTGCCATGAACAGTCCCCAGCACGCCTTGCCTGCCCCTATTCACCCCCGAGGAAGAACAGACACCCCACTTTTTGCAGTTCCACAGACTGATACCCCTACCACCTTAGACCATGCCCTGCCGTGCCCTATCACCAGCATGACAACCTGAACCAAGGGCTCGCAGTGCATGTAGACCCCACCGTGTCGCGATCATGGACTCGCAACCACTAGTCTTCTAACCTGGAATATCAAATTGTCACATTGGTGTAATATGTTTTATTTTTATTTTTACAATCTGTGGCTTGCGTCGGAATTCGAAAGCTTTATGCGGCCTTTGGGGTCACACCCAGGATTCTGGGGTAGAGTTTTGGCTCGTTCTGTCTGGCCTCCACCGTCCTTTCAGAAACCAGCTCATCAGTGATGCTTTTTAACTTCTCAATTTTTTTTTTTTGTTTTTTTGATAACCGCCCCTCTCTGCTTGTCAAAAAGCTGACCGCCCGCCCCCCCCCGCCCCACCACACCTCGGCGTCTTGTTATTGAGCCAAAGAGCCAGAGGATATTCGGTTTTACATTGGCAGGAGACTCTGTTTGGCTGCACGCATAACACAAATCAATAAATAAATACATAAATAAAAGATAAGGTTAACTACCAAAACACGTCTGTTGTAAGTACATGCGTACAGTTGTTCTTATTGTCTCCTTACTCGGAGTCTCAGAAAAAGCAGCGTTGGGGCAGAACCGTGCTGGTTTTCTCCCGCATCTGGGCCCCCCTGTAGCCTTGCTAAAATTCCCACAACGTCGTCAGACTGGGCTTCTGGTGTCTCTCTCCTCTTGTTTATTTGTTGGAATTATTTCACAAAGCGGGCAGTTGGGGGAAATGCAGAGGATGCGCGCACGTAAACGGGTGGCCCTTATGTATATTTATATATGCTTCCCCCCCCCCCCCCCATTTTCGGCTTGATGTGTAAGAAGTGATTTGCTTGGACAGGCTCAGCGTACAGTGGCAGCATAGGAAATTAAACCTCTGGGCTCCCCTGGTTTCCTATAATGTGCTTTGTCTTGCTCTCCTTTAGCTTGGAGGATTGGTTTCTGCTAAGAGTCTTTGGCTCAGGTTCCTGCTCCCCCCCCCCCCTTCATGCTTTTCACTGTTCGCTTTGCTTTGTTTTCCAGAGGGAACGTACTCAGCACTGGGCACTGCGTGTCGCGGTGCTGGTCTGTCTCTTGTTCCCTTCTCCTGCCAGTGCTGATGATAGGATACAGGACAACAAATGGTCACTGGGCCCTTATCTCTGGCCCTTTCCTGGCCAAAATTTAAAACCTCTGATAGTTGCCTGTTCTACACTAGTCACTTTGACTATGCTGGTGAAAAGGGGTATGTCTATGTGACATTTTACACTGTGAAATCCCTTGAGGATTTTTTTGAAGCAGACTGATTGACATAGATGATGTGCCAGTGTCTTGACCATACTGCGGGATTATAGTAAACTGAGGAGTTGCCGTTTAACCAGGAAAGACGACGCAAGAGGATGCTTCGTATATGTACTTTATAATTATTGTTCATATTGAGTACAATTATCATAGCGAACGTCAACTTCACATGGGGTACACTGTGCGAATGAAAAATTTACGGACGTGCGTCTGTCTGCATATGTCTTCGGATTAAAAAAAAAAATGTTTGTCTCCGAACTATAACATAAACTGCTCTCGTATTGTTTTCTATGCTTTCAATAATCACTTTAATTTGAAGTCTAGCATTTCACAAAGAACTGAGGCAAAAACAATAAAGAAAATATCCATACAGACATAACTCTACTGGCTGTGCACATTAATATATATATATATAAAATATAAATATATCTGTATGATTCATTCTAGCTCTCAATTCATTATTTTCTTATTGAAATTGACTCTTGTTAAAATAATCGTTTGCTTTACAGTTTAATATATTGTAAATAAACGATGGCCAATGTTTTAGAAATGTTACGGGGATGTTTTTCTTTTGCTGTTCGAACCACTTCTGCTTTGAGCTTCGAGCTGCTCATAGTTAAATCCTGTTTCATAGCCTATATGTTCTTAGATGGTATCATCTAAAATTAGCCTTTATTTATCGTTTAAGGAAGATCTGTTGGAGAAAAAAATGTAGGCCTATGTCTGCACACATCTCTGCAATGTAATTGAAAAGGACCGGCTCTTTTGTTTTTCATAGAAGGAAACACTTCCCTTCATGCTAGTTTGCAACACAAAAGATGGGGTCAGCTGTGTTGATGCCCTCGGAGCATTCAGCTGCTCTCAGAAGGAATGTATAGGATGTGAATATGCCCTTTTAGAGTTTTAGAATTCTCTCCCCCCCCCCCCTAGGGGGCATCAGCACTGAGAACGATTAACTATTTCAGAAAGGTAAAACCTGAATTACTGTCCGATGTCATAGGTGAGACAAGTGTCAAATCGTTGTTGCGAAATCATAACAGATAGGTATCAAGGGGGCCGAGCCATAAACAGACTTTCAGAGGGGCGGGGGACCGTTTTGATCAGGGTTTGTCTTGACCACCGAGAAGAAGAAACGCCGTAAGCTTGCGGATCGAGCCGTGGGAGAAATCATAGTATCCCCTTTGAGGTTTCCCAGCTTCGTTATTTTACCGGGACTCTGGTTCTGAAGTTCACGTCGGTGCTGAAACGATTCCCGCTGCGCGCTGGCTTTTGATTCCGAGTCCGGTTTGCCACGTTCTATAATGTGAAACCCATTAATCCACATTTTCTTCTGGGATGTAAAATAAACTGCTGCTTTCTATCATCGCTTTTCGTGTCGATGAAGAAAGGGGGTGGACGCCGTACTGTAACTTTGCCTGGATTTCAGCCCGCAAGTCTGTCACTTCTTCCGTGCCGAATGGGGTGCTCCTGCTGACCGCATGCATTACGAAATTATTAACTGGCTAACAAACCAGGGTCTGGGAAGTTCTATTTTTTTTTTTTTTTTTTTTCAAAAAACGTATTAATAAGGGATTGTATCTGATGGGGGTGTATGATGGAGCGAGACTCCAATCAGCTTGTCGATATTCAATCATGCATATAGCAGGCATTGGTGAAAGCACCTATTTTTTTTTCCTATTTTCTCTCTTGGATTATGGAAGGCAGCTCCTATCGTTCGTAATGATGTATACGCGTCTCGGCAGATTAAAGGGGGTATAGAGACGCGCTTCCAGCTTCAAGTGTTTTGGTCAAGTACGTAGGAAAGAAAATCCCTAAGCTGCAAAGGAGGACGAATTGTGAATTTCGATGCCATTTTAAATGAAAATGAAAACTTATCAATTGTGTGTGTCTGTGTTTTGGATTATTTGCAATAAAATAAAGTCATGGGTTGTAATATTAAGATTGATTCTTGGCTGAGGGAGAACAACGTATTATTGCAAAGGTACACTACTTTTAACTTGTCAACAAACGTCTTCATACAGTTGATTCTTTTTAACCACTCAAGCGATGCAAGACTGGAAGAAATGGACCAAGGAACCTTTTAGAAGGTATCTGTATTAAAGCAATGTAGTTATAATTGAATTTAATTTAAAAACCATTAATTGTGTCAAGAAAAGCAACTAGTAAGTAAAGCAAGGTTCTTACCCATCGGTAATGTTGGGGGGGGGGGATTTACGAACGCACACGTAACAAAAATCATTCTTAGGGCATTAAGTCATTATAGTTGGCTTTTGGTATATGTATAAAACAATTAAATACAATTTCCGTGTGACTCTTTAAGTGAATAAAGTACAGGGAAGTCAGGTGTGAGGCCAGCGATGTATAGAGGTTACACTCCGGGCCGCTTGATCATTCAGCTGACGCTCGCTCGGAGGTCGGGCGGGCGGATACCTGCCGATGTGGGGGGGCGGTTACAGCTGCGGCGGCAAAGCTGCTTGATTCCTGCTGGGAGTTCGACCTGATCCGCCGCGACCGCAGTGGCGAGTGGTTTGCAAACCCCGGCGCCCTCTGAGGATGCGGTGCACCGCTGTTTCAGCCTACGACCGCGTTGTGAGGGCTGCCCCAGGTTGAAGGCAGTCCGCCTGGCCTCGGCTCCGTCTCGGCTTTCCCACGGAGTGCATGTTTTGTGGCCAAAGTTTGACGGTAAAAAAATAAAAACATATAGTATTTTGAATCCATTTCCCATGCCTCAAAACAGGAAATTAAATATCGACCGATTGCAGAGTGGAAATTTATTTTGACATGGAATGGAGATTGACTAGGGGCGGCACGGTGGCGCAGTGATTAGCAGCGTAGCTTCCACAATTATGGGACTCGTGGCTCCACGTGTGTGGACTTCGCATGTTGTCCTCGTGTCATTCTGTCCCGCAACCATGAATAGGACAAGCGGCTTCAGAAAACGCGTGGAGGATCATTGTGGGTGAGTCTTAGGTAATTGACACACATCCTAACTCCATATGAATAATCATGCAAAAAAAAAACAAACACCCATTTAGAGACTGCTTAGATTCTCTATATCTGTGAACTTCTGGAAAAACTACATCGTTTACGTGTGTATGCTAAAGCAGTTGCTGAAATCATACTTCAAGCACTGTCAGCCTGTAGGAGTCGATTTCTTTTGTGACATCGATTATGATGTTGGTAAGGATCATGGAAGGTCCGGTGCACAACAACCTCATAGACCCGCTGGTTCCTCAGAGATCCAATCAGCTATCAGCAGGCTTCATCACTCAGAGGACTCGTAAGCAGCAGATGTGATTCTGAAAGGAAACGGGGCTGACTGCACTGACCGTAAATATGCTCTGTTTCTCGAATGGTGGCTACAAGCAATAGGATCAGAAAGCTGTGGCGGCGTGGCGTCACGTGCCGCTTTAATCCTTTTCTCAGTGGTTATTTTGCTGGTTCTTATTGATGCAAATCAGTCCGTAATTTACAGTATAATCCCACCCAATAACCTGTGGCTACAGTGACCCGGGAGGGTTATAATCATGTTACAGTGCAATTCTGTGTTGGGTGAACTTTGCATCAGCTGAAGTGCTCGTGACATAGCATCTACTTAAATATAATTCTGCATGGTGTACATTTATGCAAATGTCACGGGGTATTATGCATATAACTACACATGAAAATTTCGCTAATACGAAAGTGATGATTATCTTGAGGACTCGGTTTTATATATTTTGTTCTAAATGTCATCATAATCTTTTTTTTTATTTTTTTGAGAGGGTGGATGGATAAAACGTGTTTTCGTAAAGTTGCCCTTCATTTGGGTTTGTTGTGCCTAAGTAACGGTTACAAATTAGGACAGGAAGGATGATAAAGGGTAATGAAACTGAAGTCTTCCAAGAAAAGCAGTATTCAGACATCATCCGCTGGCAGAGTAGCTGACAGATTAGAGGGGCAGCCCCACTGAAGTGCTTTCCAAACAAAGCTCACTTTGAATCACAATGTCAAGTAGTCCACAGAGCCTCTGTCATCAGGCTCAATTATTAGGAGATTATGTGTTCGCTTGTCGATTTAATGACTGCTTCATGCTGGTCCTGGTGGGCATAAGTTGTGGGGGGGGGGTGTGATAATGGTGTCACCACCGCTGCTGGTACCACTTCCGCTGGAGTCGGCTTAAGGCTGCACAGGGGCCGATGAAATGCGACCGTGCTCTATCTTTCACTATGTTATGCATGCAAATAGGGAGATTAAGTAAATGACGATCGACTGCTTCAAAAGTCTATTAAAATCAGGACTAGCTAGTTTTGCATACAAATGTGCTCCCTTTCTTGTGTTAGGTGTACGTCACTCATTCTGTCGGTTAGTAGTCTGGACCTGGGGACGCATGTCTTCAAAAGACGCCTGCTGTTCCGGCCCGTTTTGGCAGAAGGTGGAATGTCTCCGAACCAACAAATAGCTCTGGACAGTAGCTTGCAAAGGCGGGCTTATTGTTTTTTGGCTTGTGGTGTTTAGTGATACGTGGCATGAAACCAGCAGTTCTTCTGTTGCCTCGGGCCTCTTGGGCTGGGGGCAGGGTGCTAAAATTTGGCCCTCCATCCATGCATGTGTTTTTGTCCAGTGTTCCGTTCGTACATCATCTCGCCGTGCAAAGGCGTGTGGGTCAAGCAAATCGGTGACCCCACATTGCCTGTAAAGTGTATGATTGCCCCGAGATGAATAGAGATTCTACCCAGAGTGCACCCTGCTTTATGTCCTGTGTTTTCTGGGATATATTCTGGATCAGCCAGAGTGGGTTGGTTTTGAAAAATAAATGAATTTTGGAATGAATGGCTTTTGTGTTTTGTCTTCCCATAAAAACAAAGGGAGAGCCATGACTGGACTGTTTTTGACACCCTTTAATTTAGCAGGTGCAATCAAAATTATGTAATGTAACAAAAACGAAAGTCTTTGATTGGATGCGGTTACAGACTGATTTGAATATGCTCAGCTCTTGGCTTGCGAGGGGATCCCACTCCGATTCTGTCGCCCGTGGTCTTGGTCTTGCACAGATATGGTGCTGAATCTGACACTGATGCTTGCTAGGCTGCCCCGTGATGGAGGACTGATATCACAGCTTTTGCTCTGCCAGGCTGTCATCGGGCCCTTTTTCCATGTTCGCGTCCTCTGCTAAGGAAAAAAATGACTGACCCCTATCGTGTTTCAGTATGCTAAGCACCAGGCCGTATGCCGAGTACGTATGTCGTTTGGCGGGGGCTGTGTAGGCAGGTGACGTTCTCTGGTGCCCAGTTAAAGACTGGGTAGCCGGGGACTGATCATGCTAATCCAGCCCTGCATGTCTCCAGGTGGACCAGCTGTCCCAACGATGAGCTCACACTCGGCCAATGGTAGGCCACATCTCTGATTACCTCATCACCATTGAGGCCATAGCCGCACACATTATACATGAGGTAAGCACACCTCAGCTGCCTTTCTCAAACGTATATTGTTAGTGGGAATACTCGCGCTAACCCAGTGCCCCTCCATGTAAAAATTTAGCTTTGTCCCTGATTGCTGTACGTTCCATTAGCCTAATGTGTGCTAACAACAGGTCTCTGGGTCACACAGGAACCGTTTCCATGGCTACCTAGTATGCGGCTTTCACTGTGTCCTGCTGGTCTGGAGTCAGCTCTGTATGCTTTCCTTTATCTTTGGTTTGTTTTCCTACCGAGTGCTAAAACATTATCGCAGGGTAATTTGGGAGCGGCGCGGAGACAAAGGTGGCGACGAGATAGCGGAAGTTAAACTTTAAATAGACGTCACATTCCGACATTTTTTGGCTCATTTCCCCGGTAGGTAAGAGCCAGGCGCTCACAGCCTAAGGTCCGCCTCTGTTCCTGCGGTAACGTCCGATAACGGCTGAGGGATGTGAAGCGCCAGACAGCGCTGAAGGTGCATAAGGGAGATTAGGCTCATTAAACATCCCCTAAGCTGAGATCACTCACCGTAAACTCGTGTGAAACCAGAATAGATGGCAGAATCCTGCCGTGACAGTGACGCTCACCTTCCAGGCTGGCTAGCGGAAACAAAGACCATACCTGAGTTAATTTAACCCCCATTGGAAGGGGTTGGGGGGGTGAATCGCATACAACATCGCGGAAAAACTTTCTCCCGCCGCCTGATCTTGACTCTCGCTGTTCTCTCTCACACTTCTGCTCTCTCCTATTGGACGCGGCAGCTCAGGCTGATTAGCAGAGATCCGTCTCCCTCTGCCCGCCCCAGCCGCTCTGACACGCTCGCCAGCCCAGTTGAGTTAACTCACCCGTGCCATATGCAGGCCCGATGGCCTGTTCTCCCCCATCCCTGTCACTTTCATCTTTCTCTCCCAGGGCTGGACTGAACCATTGCCCCACGGGGGGTGGGGGTTGTAGTTAGGGGTTATACACAGAGCATGGCTTAACTGGCTTGAATTATATGTTCCCAGCAAATCCCGAACAGTCAAAAAAGGCAAATATGGCCTGTTAAATATTAACACTTAAATTAAACTATACACCCATTCCATCATGTCGACATTTTAGGTTGCCACCTCCCCATGTTTTATAACACCATCTAACAAGCCGAATCTTCTGCTTCTCACCGATAATTAGAAGACTGATTACACCTTCCAAGTTTTTGCCCCCCCCCCCCAGTTCTGAATTTATTCACTCATTTCATTATGCGATCGTAAGACGGAGGAGTACAGCGGAGTACGCCTCTCCTGATCTCCCGAAGTTGCCCGGTATAATTTTCCCATTCAGACTGATGACTGTGGTCATTTGCTTCATCCACCAGCCTGGCTGATTGGTGATTAAGTTGTTTACAGGGTTTGGGGGGGTGGAATGGATGCAGGGTAAAAACTACAGTTGGGAGACAAATGGCAGTGAGTGGATGATGGCTTTTTAACAACGAGCCAGTCTGCATAAGAGCTTGGGGTGGGGGGGGTGCATGCAAAACACCTCGGGCCCGAAACCTGCACAGTCTGACCCATTAGCACAAATTAGCCAATAGAATGGTTCAAGAAATTTTGCGGGGATGTCACTGGGAGGCGGCAGTGTGGCGATAAGGTAGACCCGCTCTGATGGTCTGCTGCAGAGCTGCTGCAGAGATCCACTCGTTTTCCTCCTGACACTTTCCAATCACAGGTACTCGTCCAAGGCTATCAGGACTGCCAGCATCAGTGGAAGACCTGACGTCCTCGATTGTTTCCTCTACGCCTTTGAGTGTCGGCGATCCGAGCAGCGATCCGTCTGAGTTTAACACAAATCATGGGTTATTGTTGCCGTCTAATGGCTTTGATAAGACGTTTTCGGTACTCCGATGTCACAACAAGGCTGAAGTGTAACTCTGCCTTGCCCAGGCTGTTGATGAAGCCCTCGATGGCATGTTTCATTTTACGTGAAAGGTTCCAATCGTTGTTTTTATTCTCCTGTGGCACAGTGCCTCCTTAATCTGAGACTGGGGTTTTTTTAAGGCCACTGAGAAGTAGGGATGGGTATCGACACCCGGTATTAAACGGGCCCCGGGGCTAAATTATTAAAGACCGTAGTATCAATAAGCTCCAACGTTATCGGTTCAGTTTTCGGTCCTGAAAAAATTAAGAAAATAGATTTCCTATTTATCGCCCTGCGGTGTGTTGCCGACTGCCCAGGGCTGGTTTCTACCTGCGCCCCTTGTTCCTGGGATAGGCTCCGGGCCCCCCCACGACCCCAGTTGGGATTAAGCTGGGCAGCTCTCTGTATTCCTCGCTCTTCCCTGCTATAGTGACGATGGCACAGAGACCTAAACATTCAAAACTGTGGTTACATTTCACTAGAGTTGATGTTGACTATGCTTGTTGCCACAAGTCTTCTGCATGCAAGGGCGGAAACATAAGTGATTGGTTGAAACATGTAGCGAAAGTTCATCACATGCATATGGAGAAATGCATAGTTTTCGACTGCCTAGCTTTTAGTATATTATGCATGCTTACGGAGTTGACTAAATTATACGAATATGGATTAATGATTAAAAGTAACAATTAACCAGCCGATTCAATCTGAAATGGTCAGAGCGTCATCTTTCGTTCAGATCAGAGTACCGATAAGAGTACCGTTAAAGTTCCGGATCCATAAAGTAGTAAGAGTAATAGTATCGTTAGAATCTTACTACCCTACTACAAAGACGGCAAGATTTATAAAGTGGACTTGAGAAAGTTCTGGAAGCGCTGCAGTTTGAAAGGTGAGAGGTCATGGGACGGTGGGCGGCCCAGGCTGAGCTCACACAGCACCTTGCCGACGACGGGCCCGAACTTGAACCCGTGACCTGGGTGGAGGGAGAGAAGAAGTTGATGATTGCTGATTAGCTGGATCGCTTAAAAAAAAAAAGAAAAGCTTCCGTTCCCTGGCTCCGCCCCTTATCCATCACACGTCACGCACGCGCACAGCTAGGCGAGCAAATAAAAAAAAATTGAATTGTACCGTCTGCCATGGAACATAAATTTTAATGACTTTAATAACTCTACGGGAGTTTGGACAAAATTTTAATCGGGATGATCTGCTCCCTTTAACGAAGAGGCGTTTGGCACCAGACCTCGGTAATGAGGGCGGGCTAGGGGGTGGTGCTTCTTTTTATTGGCTGTTGCTGCAATGGCAATCACTCCCAGCAGCCCCATCACAATCCTGCAAGGGGCCGCTTGGAATGTAACGTGTGGCTCCTGGGCATGGAAACGAGGAAGCGCACGGGCAGCGGCTAACGCTAACGCGGCACCGTAATGATCTGCGCGACAGACGCACTCATTTAGCGCGTGAGAGACGAGGACCCTTATCACCAGGCCGGCGTGCTGGTGACTCGTCGCCATGGCAACCACGAGATCCTGTTTCAAATGTTTCACTCCGGCGACAGGGCGGGGGGGGGGGGTGGGCAAAGGGAGTTTGGCCCATCGAATGGAACAATGTGGGTCTCTTTTTCCGAGCGGTAGATCATCATCAGAGAGCAGCTCTCAAGCCGCTGGGCTACAACACGGCCGGTGAGGTAAACAATGGGGAGGGAAGATGGGAGGTAAAAAAAGGTTAATGGTGATGAATCATCGCCCCCACGACAGTCCTAATATGTTATTAAAGCTGAAGAACAAATGTAATAAATCACTAGCTTTCAGGGCCCTGGGATGGGAAGGACAGAGCTGCAGAGGATGCCACGGCGCTTGTCAAATCAGCCTCGTCACCACGGAACAATACATCGGGGTGGGGGGGTGTGGGGAGGGGTACGCATCCTACAGGCTTAGCTTCCCATGTATGTCCCAGGCAGCAGTAATCATGTTTGTAATTAGTGGAACAAGGTGTGGAACAGATGGACCCCGGAGATGGCAAGAGGGTGAGGGGCTGCTTCCCCTGATTCATGGTCCTCCCCGTGGGGGGGCCCCTCGGTAAAACGAATGGTGGGGGCAGTCCCTTATTCCTCTCTCGCTTTGGGAGATGGCATCAAGGATACAGTATGGACACAGATATACACTGATAGGGGGCCCAGCACTTTACAGGGGCCCCGGAATATGTTAAATTATGAGGTGGGGGGCAGAATTTCTAGCTCCGCCCCTGGGTGGAGTGAATGTGGGGGGGAGGGTTGATTTTAGCAGCACTGACCTGAGAATCCTGCACCGATGATGATGTTACTGTGCATTGGGTGACGGTCCAGGACAAAGTGGTGGTCTGGGGTGACCTGTGGGGGGGGGGTACAAGCCCATGAGTGAGTTAAAAACCCTGTCAGTCGTGTGAAACCCGGCCAATTTTCCAGACCGCCAGGATGAAGGTCATGCTTGAGGTTTCAGTCAGCTACTGTGGGCTTAATATAAGTCCGGAAGACAGAATCCGGCATTACAGATATGGCATTATAGTACTGTGTGTGTGTGTGTGTTTGGGGGGGGGAGGGGTCAGATATACATTACATTGTGGGGATCAAATTATCTTGACATTGTGGGGACCATCTTTTTCGGTCCCCACAAGGGGAAACTCAGTTTTATAAAAATTTGTGACTGCAATCAAAAAACTTTTGTTTGGTTACTTATGGTTCAGGTTAGGGCAGGGTAGGGGTTAAGGTCGTCATTGTTGGGATTAGAATTTCGCCCATTGAAATGACTGGACAGTCCCCACAAAGATAGGAGTACAGGTCTGTGTGTGTGTGTGTGTGTGTGTGTGTGTGTGTTTAAGTGAATAACCGAAGTCTCACACTAAAACTTTACAAATCAGGTTCATCTCCAGTGCACCGAGCCTGGTCCTTGGAATTAGGCAATTGATGTCATGAATTTATTTAGTGAATTATTTATAGTATATAGAGAAGAGCTGCTATCTACTATCCAGGGTATTTTTCTATAGACTTTATATAGTCAATGAAGAGCAGTGAGAATTGTCAAAACACACACCGTGGCGGGTGCTTGTGTGTTAACGGCATCTGGCCTCGGTACAGACCGCCAGTCAGAACCGGCTCCCTGCTTCCTCCCGGCGGCCGTGGAAGACCAGGGACCTGTTAGCCACCTCATGCTCAGGTATCTCTAATTAAGGGCTTTTCAGCCCCTGGAGAGCTTGGAAATCAGGGAGGGAAACAGCAGAGAGTATTTTGCAGCCTGAAAAGTGGAGCTATTTTTTTGGTATCTTTGCACCTGAAATTAGAGGTCTGTATTTTAGTTCTCGAAGTGGTCAATGACCACATAAAAATGGAGGTCCAGCTTCCCAGAGTTCCTTGCTCGCGAGTGTGGTTGTTCCACTGGCTTGTGAGAAGCACTTAAGATCGTCCTTGTGCTGCCTTTTCTCGTTGTTAGTTGCTTTGACCGCTCCTGCCTTTTCTTCTGTTGTGAGTGCCGGTGCCCAATTCACCGTAACCCAACAGTCCCCCCCAGAATCTTGCCGCCATTATGGTGCCCGCCTCGCGCTGCCTCTCCATGCAATCGCAGCCCGGTCCTGAGTGGTGTGTGGCGTGACAAGGCTGTGTTTTGGCAGGATGAGGGGAGTGGATCGATGCGGAAGCGATAGAGCTGACAGGATTTTTTTTCTCCTTGTCTCCTCCTGGGGTGTCTGATGGAGACCACGTCCAATCACCCAATTACTGGTGTTTTGGGCCTCGGCTCACCAGCCTGTGCTGGTACGCGTGTGTCCACATGACTGTCTTAACGCAGGTCTTTTGATGCATCTTCCTCGGGAGGAAGAGTCACAGGGATGTATAGTACAGATACAACGCTTCTTGACGTGTCTGTCCTTGACCTTTGACCCCATATGCATTTCCCTAAAGCCGCTGCAGTTAATAATGACAGCGTTGCTCTGAGATGTGTTGAGTACGGCTCAGCAGGTTTATACTCAGTGCCCAATACTGAAAAGTCACTGGTTCAAATCCCTGCATCGGGAGAATAATGTCACTGTTGGGTTCTTGAGCAAGGCTCTTAACCCCCAGTAGTTGCCCCTGTTCGCTCAATTGTATTTTGCTTTGGATAAAAGAATCTGCTAAATATATATAATGTGCCAGTGCTATTAGGACACACAAAGGTGAGTTTGTATGTATATGAGTCTGCCCACCACTGACCGTGTACATGCAGCTCTCCACGACGGCAGGCACGGACTCCAGGCCGGGCAGGTGGCGGGAGATGTAGCTGGACAGGATGGCGACGTCCCCCCGGTCTGTCTGCTTGTCCCGCTGGTCGGGGTCCGTCTCGCTGCCGGCGTGGTAGCAGACCTGCAGGCATAATGACGCTAATCCGCTTCCTCTCTCCGCTCAGTATGGTGCTAATCAACAGCCCGGGACTGGAACTGCGCTGTTAATGGTTTCTGTCGTTACGGGGGTCGACTGGCTCTAATGCGGCAATAATTTAACGGCCCGGCGCTGTTTGCAAGCTAATAGTAAAACTCTCGGGAAAGCCGTACCGCGGTGTGACTCGTTTGCATAAGGACGTTGTGGCCTCTGCTGCAGAAGCGTCAACATTGATAATTGCTGCAGCTTGTAATTCATCTGCAAACAGCTTCTGGGGTCTATAGTTATGGGGGGGGCTGGAGCCTAACCCAGGAGGTGCATGGGTATAATGCAGGGGAACAGTCTAGAAAGGATAAATGGTAAATGAACAGGTGGACATCAGGATATCAGTCCCAGTTTTGTGATTCTGTGTCTTCTTAAATATTGTCTATACTGTATATGGGGGTTGGACGATGAAACACTTGGCCAATAGTGTTTGAGGATTCATGCCTATATGTGTGCAGCCTGGTGGCCTGTCTTCACTGGTTGCACATTCCGTCCGTAACAGCAGAGTGTAAAGGCTGAATTAGCAAAGCTGTACGTAAAACATTGCAATGCAAGCAACATAATGGGAGACGCATCACAGTTCAAAAGAGGGCAAATTATTGGTGCGCGTCTCGCTGGCACATCTGTGACCAAGACAGCAAGTCTTTGTGATGTATCGAGAGCCACTGTATCCAGGGCAATGTCGGCACCCCAGCAGGAAGGGTGGACCACATCAAACATCATTGTGGATGTAAGAGGAAGCTGTCTGACAGGGATGTCTGGGGCACTGACCAAAAAAACATGAAACCACAGCTGCCCAAGTCACTGCAGCATTAAACATGCATCTCAACTCTCCTGTCTCCACCAAAACTGTTGGTCAGTAGCTCCACAGGGTCAGTATTCATGGTCGGACTGCTATTGCCAAACCTTTGGTCATATGGGCCAAATGTCGGTTTCAATGGAGCCAGCAGCTGTGGGCTGTGGACTATGTCAAACATGTATTGTACTCTGATGATTCCACCTTCACTGTCTTTCCCACATACGGAGAGTTACAGTGTGGAGAAGCTGCAAAGAGGCTTATCACCCTGACTGCTGCGTACTCAGAGTGCAGCATGTGGGTGGATCAGTGATGGTTTGGGCTGCAGCATCATGGCATCTCCTAGGTCAACTACGTCACTGACAAGGACTACTGAACCATTCTGGAAGACCATGTTCACCCAATGGTTCAAACACTGTACCCTGAAGGTGCTGCCGTGTATCAGGATGATAATGCACCAATGCACACAGCAAGGCTGGAGACAGAGTGATTCGATGAAAGTCAGGTTGAACCATCTCCCATGGTCAGCAGATCTGAGTATTATTCAGCCACTTTGGGGTGTTTTAAAGGAGCGAGTCAGGAAATGTTTTCCTCCACCAGCATCACATAGTGACCTGACTGCTGTCCTGTAAGAGGAATGGCTGAGAATCCCTCTGGCCGCTGTGCAGGGCTTGTATCTGTCATGCCCAACAAACTCATGCTGCATTGGCCACAGAAGGAGGCCCTACCCCACTATTGTGGTCTAAAACCAGGTGATTCAGTTTCATTGTCCAACCCCTGTACTTGTGTGTGTGTGTGTGTGTGTGTATATATATATATACTGTTGTCCACCTGTTCAGTTTATATACTTCATTCATGCTCCCATGTGTAGATTTTCCATTCTGTTTAGATTTCTATTTATCTGTCTACAGTATGTTAACCCGGCCACCAGGTAGTCTTGTAAGAATTTCCATAATCCTCGTTGCTGTGCTTGTATTACTTCTGTTTACACAGACATACACTCTGTGATTAAGGTAACAGGCGTATCGGCACCTCCATCGCTATGTGCTGGAGGACCGGTCTTCGCCCCCTGCCCTAAACATAAGCCACACGGACCCCACCTAACAACATGAGGCAGCGGTATGTGCGCATTCTGAGGGTGGGGGGGGGGTGTTCGCGCCAGAATGCAGAGCCAAGCCACCGTGAAACTTCCGGGCTACTCTGCGTGGGTCGGAATCAAACTAATAAATCTCCTACCTGCTGTCGATGCATATCGTCTTGCTCTGTGTCTTCATGCGATCAGCTTCAGGAGTCTCAGTAGAAGAGCTATTTGAAGGGCTAAAACGTTGCTGGGGATTCTTGAAGCTCCGTCGCGCATTAAATGTGAACCATGCCATGATTAAATAGCTGCAGTATTATAGTATTATAGTGGGGGTGGATTTTGGCAGATGAGGTTAAAATGCTGTATCTATAATCAGATGGTTGCTGGTTCAGATCCCGCGGCCAGTTAGTTTGCCATTGGGCCCTTGAGCAAGGTCCTAAACCTAGAGCCGCTCCTGGGACTGGCTGTCCCTGCATTCTCAGCTGTATGTCACTTTGTATAAATGGCTCAGCTAAATACATAAATGTAAATGTAGTGCTGTAGCAGTCTCACGCCCCCCCAGTCTAAAGCGAACTGAGCTGAGCATATTTAATAGAGTAGTTTCATTTTGTGATATACAGACCATCCTTTGCCCCATCAAGTTTCTAAAAACATCCTTCACCCCCATTCAATTATTCCGGCTGTTTATTAGCGAGATCCCATCCATAAAACATGGGCAGAGTAAGGTATGCATCAGATTTAAAGCCATTGTTTTATTTGAGTAATTTTATTTGGCATCTCGCTACCTGTGAGCTAGAAAGAATTTTTTTTGGCCTCTTTGACCCGGTGCTCAGGACCGACACCGTCAGCTGATTGGATGGATACGTTACGGAAGGGAACACCATTGGCTCATCCTCAGCCGCGGCTGCTCATTGGGCAGTAGGTCATGTGAAATCATCTGGATTCTATGACCTTGTCGCCTCCCGTCAACCTGCTGTGCTTGTTATGTAGGAGGCCGTGGGACGAGACCCTAATTACGCATCAACACGTCAGTACGAAACGGGAGGTCGCTGGGAGGCAGGCGTTGTCGCTCACCTGCAGGGATGCACTGAAGAGGAGGGCACTCACCTTCATTAGCCCAGGGTACTCGTTGGACGGAAGGCCGTAGATGTCGGTCTTCTCCATCTCCGACGGCAGCTGGATGAAGCAGGGGAAGCGCCTGCTGACGCTGTATGTTCCCGGAACCTTCTCCCTCCAGTAGCAGACATTAATCTTCTGCACCTGTCCGACGGAGAGATCATTCAAAGTGCCCCTAAGGGCAAGCCCATAAACATTCCCAACGAGGGAAATTTACGCTCCCTGATTAAGGACTGCCTCCGAGTGCTGGCGATGGGTTCCCTCATTGTCTTGTCTACCGTCCAACTGCAATTAAGAAAGTACCGATGATGTTCCCTTTAGAAATAAGATGAGATGAATATACACTTCTACGGATTGCGGCTTCGCAGGGATAACAGGCGTACAACGATCTGACGGCTTTCAGCTTAATTAGCTAATGGGCCATCCTTTTAATTTTATGACCAGGAGAAAAGTGCCTGTGAAAAGCTTCAGTGGTTGTGGACCTGCTCAAGGTTCAGCGTCCCTGGTTAATGAATCGCTGATCTCCTCCTCTGTCCTTCTGGAGACTTTGTCATTTTGAGTTTTACAAAATCACTTTGTTGACAATTGGCTCATCTGCCGGAGTTCAGGATATTCATCTGTCGTATTATCCAAAGAGAACGAACGTCAGAACTTTGGGATGTATCTGGTGCATTTGTTCGTCAGATCGTCCGCTTCTGTGGCGCCAGATGGAGAGTCTAAAGCCAAGGTTTGACAGCTCCGTGTGTGTGTGAGTGTGTGTGTGTGTGTGTGTGTGTGTGTGTGTGTGTGTGTGTGACAATAGCTACATGAGAGTGGCGTCTGTGGTATGCTTTACCTGCAGGGGTAGCTGGAGGCCGACGTGGGACAGCACTGCATTGGCCCAAGGCCCGGCTGTGATCACCAAGCTCGCAGCTTTGTGGGCTCCACTGGCTGTTGTCACGGTGACCTCCGAGCCAGGCGTGATGCCAGACACTTTCTCCCCATCCTTGATTACCCCGCCCAGCTTCTGGAATGCCCCCTGGCAGCACGGAAATCAGACAGAAGAAGACTCAATGCAGCACACCTTGAGTGGACCATCAATACTTGAGGCTTTTTTTTTTTTTTGCGATTTCAAGACGAAGTGGATTATTGCTTTTGACTTCAAACACATAAGAGGTGTTATGCCGCTGTAGGTTTGTGTCCATGTGCAATAAACCATCTAATGACCTGATACTGATGCTTATTCTGATGGGGGCAGTGTGACTGCAATTGGAAGGTTGTTGGTTCAATTCCCATGGTCAGTAAAGTGATTGGACCCCAGAAAATGGTCCTTAACCTCCAATTACTTCAGAAACTGTCTTCTCAATTGTAAGTTGTTTTGGATAAAAGTAGCTACAAAATAAATAGAATGTAAAATAAAAGTGCTTTATAAAGCTGTAAATAGAAGCACGCCGGCTTTGGATATCAAGACGATAGAGTCAGAACCAAAATGACATTACAGAGATTTGCCTAACATAACAGCAAGGCCCTGTGTGCTGCGCTACAGCAACAGGGCCAAAACAAGACACCTGGGTGCATTTCAGACTAGCTTTGCATGACATCAAGCTGGAACAACCTGGCCTGTTTAGTCTGAGTGTTTGTTAATGTTTCGATGGTGGCTGGTGTTGAGTGTGAGGCTATGCTGTTGATGTCCAAGTGACCCTCACAAAAGCCTTTGAGATCTTCTGTCTCCTCTGGGACCTCAGGCCTTAATTAGAATGGTAATCTCCACCCTCTGTCTTCGCACACGTGCAGACTAGACAGGACATACACATACAAATACTTTGCAAGGGTTCAATGGGAAGCCAGACCTGCAACCCTTGTGAGACGTGCAGATCTCCGACAGCCTATAAATCGAGAATCGGGTGGGATGACTGTCACAGTTTGAAGAACTGCGTGATCCTGGCAGTTGTCATGTAATGAACGGGTCTCGCACTCGCTTGATCTGTGCTTAATGCCACAAAGGGAAAGATGTGGTCAATCAATGTGCAGAAGACTGGATAATTGTCTCTAGTTTGCGTTAAAACAATCACTACTTCTATTGGCTTTTCTGTGCAGGATATAGCTGTCCCAGGAAGATTTTCTGACTCATTTTCACATTTGATTTCTTGTTGGAGTTTGTGTGCAGAAGATGCACTGAATTTCAGATTCAATTCGCTTGGTTGCTGCTAAATTCATCAGTCAATAAAGCTGATGTTGGCATATCTATGATTAACATCCTTAGTTGATCTGCCTGGGGAACCTAATGTTCGTTTGTTTTTTCAACCTTTTCGCAAGGTGGAGGTTGGTCCATATTTATGACCCATTGGAACGTTCAGCCAATCACATGCAGTATATGTAATAAAGTGGGACACCACCACTTGACTTCTCCTATGTGATCCATTAACTTGGGGAACTGCAAACTCACCAGGTATCCCTGACTGTGGAGCTCTGTAGCCTGCTCAGGATACCTTAGGCCAGTGTTTCTTAATCAAGTCCTTGGGGACTCCCAAAGGGACACATTTTTGCTCCCTCCCAGCTCCCAAAACACCTGCACCAGGTTTTCTGTGTTAAATTGCTTATTTAGTTTGTTCTAGTCTGTTTGGTTCTAGGCTGCTGGGAGAAGGGAGGAAGGTAGAATATGCAGTTTGGGGGTCCCTGAGGACTGGGATCAGAAACCCTGTCTTACATTCATGTGGGCCCCCAGTTGTCCACATGCCCCTAATGGCCCTGGGCAGCTTTGCTGAGCTCCAGTCGCACTCTGAGTTGCAGGATCCCCCCCCCCCCCGGTCCTCAGGCATACACAGCCCAGCCCGCCTGGCCCAGCACACAGTCTCCGCATCGCTTTTCCCTGCCTCCTACAGCGACGGGTAGCCCAGCGGAAGAACTGCAAATGGGACCCTCAGCTCTCTTCTGTACTGTTTTGCATGGTATGATGTGCTATACTTCTGAGAAGGGTTGCCCTGTTTGGAAACAATGGCACCCAGACAGCAAATCAAAATGTTAATTTTAGGGATAAAACCTCCCACGGGTATTTTGTATTGGTTCTCCATTTGCTGCCTGGGATGGATCCACCCCAACCTTGTACTGGATTAGCAGATGGATGGATGGATGAATCGATGGAATATTGTATGTAAAATACATGCAGGTCATCATTTAGGATTTTCCTCATTGTCTAGCCTGTGTTGTTGCCATAGTTACGTTTTTCTCTGCTTTGCTGAGGTTATACTGTACTTATGTTGCTGTATTTTGCTGAACCGGAAGACCCAGAGCCCCCACCTGTACGGCCTTTAAGGCGCGGTCAGCGTACAGCACCCCCGCAGTGGTGTCCACGACGGCGCCGTGCCCGTCGCCGAGCTTGAAGTGAGGTATGTGCTGAGGGAATTCCTCCGGTGCCAGGACCACGGACGGAACACGGTTCAGTTCCAGAGCCTCCTTCATCCCCTGGAAGTCTCTGCTTTTCTCTGGGCCAGTGACCAAGAGCCCTGTTTGTCTGTGAAAATGGGGGGGGGGGGGGGCGTCAGGTGAAGGCAGGAAAGGAGGGAGTCTCACCGATGTCTTTCTTAGATGATTTCCTCCTGTTAGTGTTTACTTTGGTTGTCACAAAGTCTGAATTCCGGTTGCTCTTCTTAAAGTGAAACAATCGGGTAGTAAATTAAATCAATTTCTGCTCATCGCTGCTTTAAATTAAATTAACATTACCGGTAATTGATCTGCCTTTAACAAGATGAAGTAGAGTTGGATTGACTAGCCCATGGCAATTAATCTTGTAGAAGATGTGAACGCTTCACATTATGTTACAAGCCCCGGCTGTGATGTAAATACAGGCCCGGTGCCACTGCGTCTCTGTTATGAAAGCGCTCCTCTAACATTGCCGCAGTGTTTCCCAGTCACGTGACCGTGTGCGGCCTTGTGGTACTCTGCTATGTATAGCTGCGCTTTTCAGCACAGCTCCCCTCCCCCTCCTCCTTGCATGGGCCACCCCAGGTCATGTGACTGGCACCTGCAGGCTGGATGCACGGTGAGAGCAGTGTCTCCATCTAGACAGGAATCCCCCACCCAGTCCATTCCTTCAATGGGCTCTGATAACGTTACTGGAAAAAGGTTACCCCCTACACACACACACAGGCTAAGATTCTGCAGCCTCTCTCAGAGTCTCTTTTAAAAATGAGAGTAGACACGAAAACTATCTGGGCGGGGGGGCAGGGGACAGGGGTGTCCTGCCTCTGATGGCTGTATCAGCTGTTTTGGTCATTTACGAAGATGACAACTGCTGTTAATGTCCCTTTCTGCCATCAACAAATAGCTCAAAACCCATCTGTTCCATGAATACCGCTACTACTCTGATAGCACATGTTCCTTGGATTTTTTTAATGTTGCGCGTCATGCTCTTTGAATAGCAGTACTATTAGGTTCTTGCTAATGTAGGGCTTGTAGGGTAGCTCCTGCTCCAATGCTGCTTACACTTGTACCTGGGCATTCATTGGGAGCTCGGCCTAGTCGTATTTAGGCCTAGTCGCATTTAGGCCTAGTCGCATTTAGGCCTAGTCGCATTTAGGCCTAGTCGCATTTAGGCCTAGTCGCATTTATGTATGTTTGTATGTTTGCAACGTGCTATTTGCTTGTGTTTTGAATGATGCAGCGCGGATGATGGAATGGCCGCATTGATGCGTCTTTTGACCGCGATGCGCCGGACTCTGATCCAGCTGAATGTTTACAAGCTGGCTGTTTCCAGAGTGTGGGCATGGGCAAGGGAAAATCCTCGTGTAATACTCAAAGGAAGAGACGTTGCTGGCTTGGCGCGGTGCCCCGCGCACTGACGAGAGGCTGTTTAACAGCTGGTGGATGGCTCTGACCGCCCGCAAGGAGCGTTTTCAGATCTGTGAATAAACCTGGAAATGCGGAAGGGTCTCTCTTGAGCGGTAACGGATATGGCGGCGTTCACCTGTACAGCTGAACCCCGGACTCTGCCTCCATATGCGACCAGAGCAGGTAGGACTCCTCCATCATGTGGAAGTAGAAGTCCTCCTCGTAGGCCTTCCGGATGATCCGCGTCTGCCCGTGGGAACTCCCTCGAGCATGGGGAAGGGCGAACTGGAAAATCAGAACTTCCGTAAAGACCCAAGAGAGAGCTGGCTGTGGAAGACCATACATCTGCAGGATTTTTTTTTTCCCTTTTGAAGATAATTATGGAAAGGATTGTCATGATTGTTCATTATATTTTATTCTTCACCCAGGATGATCTCCTTTACGTGTCTTTTTTTAGATGATATGTGTAGAATCTGTGTGTGCTGTGAAGGAACAGGAACAGTGTCGATTTAGCTAAACATTTAACTGTGGCATTTTGCTCATGCTTAATTTCTGCTGCGAGGGTCATTCCAGTTTATTTGGTTTGCTCGTTCAAGCTGGGCAAAGATCATACTCTTTTTAATCTTTTTCTTTAACAGCACTGTGGCCTTGAACTGGCTCAGCAGTGATCCATTCTGAAAGTATCGGGTCTCATTTTCGTCTATAAATATGTCTGGAAAGTGGCAGAGAGCTTCATATATTTTATTAGTGCAAAATGTCAGAATGGACACCACAGGGAGTAGCGTCTGTATACACACAGGCCCCAGAGCTATTAGAACACAGATGAGCTTTTTGTTGAGCTTGCTTTCTGTTCTGTGCGAGGTCCTTGTACACTTAGCGTGTAGCGTGTAGCGTCACTCTTGCATAATCTTATTTCATGATTATGCTGGCTGTAAATAATCAATGAACAGTTAATAAAAACCCATGCTGATTATGTCCAGTTTAGTTACCCGCCCCTCTTGCTTGCTGTGAGGGGTGTGCAGCTCTGAGCCGGTCATGCCTGCACCTCATTTGCCCGGCGACGCGTCGCTAACCTGTTCAATGAGCAGGGTCTTCCTGTTGTTTTTGGCGAGGTGGTAAGCTGTGTAGGACCCTTGGATCCCCGCTCCTATGACGATGCAGTCATACTTCTGGGATGACATTTCCTCGGCGCCGAGGTTCCTCAGTGCTGGCAGGTTCACTCGGCCCTCTTTCCGGCTCTTTCTGTGCCTTCGCAAAGCTCTGGCTGAAGTTCTCGAATTACACTTATGTAACCCTGAGTGGCCCCTCCCCCGTCGCCCTGGGTAATGCCTTCTTAAAAAAAAAAACAATCCACAGTGCATGGCTGAGAGTGAGCGTTTCGGGGTAAATGGGCCTCATCAACACATGTCTATCTCAGGGAATGAAAAACAGGAATATATTTCTTTTTTTTTTTTGTTGTTTTTGAAACGTCTGTTTAAGACCGGCCTCATGTTTAACGACTGCGTGGCAGGCGGACAGTGTCTGCTCCCTTGAGTGGGAAAACGCTATGCTTTATCTTGAGCGAGACAGCCAAGAGGAGAGAAAAAAATAAAGGATCCGTCCCAATGCATTGTTCTCTGAGCTCCGTCTCCAGTTTAAACTGCTTCATTTATTGTTTCTGCTGCCTGTTGCCCTGGAAAACTTTGCCCTGTGAATGACCGAGTAGTTTATGGGTAATAACAAGGTGCGGGGGAGGGGGTGGTTCAGACGAGCGTGTCTCAGATCATTAACTTTTTTGCACCTTTACACACCTGCTCTGTCGGTTATCACCTGATGACTGTGTGGCACAGCCACATGGAATATAAAAGGACCTTAAGCATAATGTCTGCTCTCCTAAATATTACCAAGATGCAGAGAGCCTCTCTCTCATATAATTGCACAGGTCAAAGTTTCTGTCTCATTTACTAGATCACAGTAAAGCCGTGGGAGATCTCTGCATGGTTGTCCGCGCTCTGTGCATTGAGACGCTCTAAACATCGCATTGATTTTCCTGCCCCTCCGTCTCTCCCTCGCTCCAGCTTAGCTGCGGACAGCTGCCGCGCTTCCTCTGAATGCGACTCATTTGCAATCGATCTCTGCTCAAATAGCTCGCTTGTTGATCTCGGGCTGGACCCCAGGGGGGACCTGACAAAGACCTGTGCACTTCTAGATGTACCTAGGGTCCCGTCGGGACCTTCATACCGTAATCTGTCCTTTGTGCAAGGGCATAGACCTCTCCCACCTCTGCCCTTCCTTCTCTGAGATTAAAGGACTAGAAACTGCAAGCTCCACATCGCTGGTGTCCAAAATCAGGATACAGACGCTCCTCTACTTGCGCACGAGATACGTTCCGAATGGCCGTTCGTAACTTGAAATGTTTGTAAGTCGTTATTCAACATCATTTTAAGGGTATACGCAAGTACAAAGAACTAGGATGCTGGGAGTACATACGCTATGTTGTGGACAGGAAATAGGAGTCCAATGAACACAATTTGGACTTACAGTCCTCTTCGTTCGTATGTTCGAGCGTCTGTACTTTCTGATCATTGATTTTATCTGTTGCTTAGATGAATAATAAAACTGTAGCTACCAAAGCTAGAAACTCGTTCCAAATCCCCACCACTCTTTCTCTAAATAAACGATTTCATTGTTCTGGTTCTGAGTTCTGACCCCGTACCCTGCTAGCTTCTTTTATGGCTCTGTGGTCTTGAAGCAAATGAAACAGTCCTTGGGGATCGATCTTATTAAAAACCCCTGAAGATCTTTGCAGATTTAAAACACAGTGGGGATTCAGGAGCAGAAGGGATGGGCATGGGGGCCTGAGGTCTGCGGGCTCACCGAGGGCAGGCGGATGGCAGGCCTGGCAGACGTGCCAGGTAGGTGGTTCGGGGCAGCCGGGTCAGATGGCCTCCCTGCATCCCGTGGCCCGCTGCCCCGACAGTGACTCAGTGAGCCGAAAGCAGAGTCTGGCTGGCTTCTCCTTGCCTCTCTCTCCTACGCGCCCGCGCTGATCGCTCAACCACACATCGCTAAGCAACGCCATTGTCTCCGAACCAGAGGTTGGCATGAAATTGTAATCATTAGCGATATAATTTGGCAGTTATTGCTCGATAAAGGTTAATTCGCGATGCCTGTTTTTCATTAATCGTCCATTAATCAAGCTCGTACAACATGCAGGCATCTTAATCCTGTTTAATTTGATGTCTTCCTGTTTTTGCCTGTGTGTAAAATTACACGGAGTGCAGTGTTCTTTTTCAGGGGGAGTGGTAGTTTAGACGCCTCACTTAGGGCTGAGGGGTGTGAATGAAGTGTCCTCCATGATTCGTCTTTCCCACCAATTATATCTCAGGCAGGTAAAGGTTGGCCACTTCAGTGTAATGTATTCATGAGGAAAGGTAGGCCTTTCCAGCCACCGTCCCTGATTGAGTTTGAACTAATCTGCTCGCGGTTCAGTCCGCTGGCGATGGCGACGGGCCCTCTGGTGCGAAACTCTGACATTCCAATTAACTGGGAGTCAGAGGCTCGCGCCTGCCGATGAGACCAAAGCCGTAATCACCACGGAAAGTATCAGGACCCTAAAATGTCTTTGGTTACTTTTTCATTTCCTGTGGGGTTCCTGTGTGGGCGGCATGAAGCATTAAACAGGCTCGACTCGTGCACGCCGGCCTCGTTGGTAAATAATACCACTGATGGGAAGTATGAATCCAGATAAAACGGAGGCGGAATCGGTGGGATGGGTCACTGCGGTGTCGTTTTAAATGTCCCCACAAGGAGCCTACAGCCAGAGAAGACCAGCTCACTAGCACCACTGAGAGGAAAACCCCCATAGGGGCCCTCCCCCACCCCGTTCCCCACCCCGTTCCCCACCCCGTCCCCAAAAGCATGATGTGCAAAAAAAAATTAAAAAATCATAAAAGGCCTCCAAATTCTGCCGACGCATAAAATAATAAACAAACAGACAAACAGAAAAGGCACTCAGGCACATTTGCATGTGAATTCAGTTGCTGTAATTACTTTTGCGTTAGGCCACATTGTTTTATTTATGCTGATTCCCCCCCCCCCCTCCAAAGTTTTACGATTTCTGAAATGACATGCAGTACACAAAAGTTGAAACTGATTTACTTTTTCTTTCTTTCTTTTTTTTGGGGGGGTGGGGGGACCCTTTGACTGATAGGTTGGACAGAATGCATGTCTACTTGTGTTCTTGGGCACGGTACTGAGACCTCTGCGTGGAACCGACAGGAACGCAAAGACCCACGTCTGAGCACCTCTGTGGCGGGACATCCCTAAACGCCTGATCCAGGTACAGATGCCTGCGCGCAGAGCTGTGCCACCTCTCCGGGGGCAAGGCGAGGATGCCCGAGGCTAGAGCTTAGACGAAAATCTGCTGAATTCCCGTGCGGGGGCCGCGCTGCCAGTCGGTCGCCCAAAGGCACCGTCAGCATAGAGATTTCCACCCTTTGGGCTGCTTATTGGACAAAGGAGGAAGCCTCTTGACCTACTGACATCAGACCCGGATCCCTGATGAAGGACATACTAACGTAGAAATTATTAATGAATAGATTTGAAAGCACAGTATGGCTGGACAGTATTTCCCAGAGTACTCTGGCTCACGATCACTGGTGCCGTTATGCTCAGCTAATTTGCACACTGGCTGGCAAGTACATAGAGGACTAAGGTGTACATTTAAACTATATTCTGAGGCATCACCGGGGGTGATCTGGCAGCGTTTTCAAGAGTTGTAGTCTGTCCTCATTTAAACAATTGTCACATGGCACACCTGACATTTCTGCCTGATAATCGCTGGTATGACTGCCATTCTATGGCAATTTGATTTCTATGCTCGGCCCCATGTACCAGGTGGGAGGGTTCGAGCCAGAACAATGGGATGCGTTGTCACTGTGCAATTAAGGTCTGTCTGTCCTTTACAGAGCAGGGGTGTTTCCCGGACGGCGTCTGTCGGTTCTAGATTAGCCCAGATCCATGCGGAAGGAGTAATCCGTCAGACGTTTATCGAGAAGCGGCTCCTCAGCGGTTTGCGCGCGTTTCGCTCGTCCCAGTTTCCCCCTCCCGCCTCCCTCGCCGTGCGGAAATTTGTCAACATAACAGAAAAAAAGAGGGAGGTGGGATGCTGATTTCAAAGAAAGTGAGCCGAAGGATGCGGGGGGGGTGGAACCAGCATGCGTCTACAGGAAAAGGTCACGCATGAAAATACCAGACGCCGAGCCTCAATATCTAGCCGACTGCAAGCAGCGCGCTACGCTATTTACCTGTCATTTATGGCGACAGCTTTTTTTTTTCCTAGTCATGTTTAAATATCAGGTCTATCTCGTAAATATTCATGGCTGCCCTGCGGTACAAGTTGCCGCTTTGGCCCCCTCTAATGAATAAGTGAATGTGCCATTAATAATGCATTAAGTGAGCCTCGCGGCCCGCCTGGCAGCCGTCCTGCTTCAGGTGCCGTAAATGAGTCAGGCGCCGCGGCCGTCGCGTGCTGCGCGTGAGACGGCGGACTCTCCGCTCTGCTAATTGGCCGGGCACGGTTATCACGCTTGCCACCCCTACCGGTTCAGACCCGGTGCTTCTTTTACTGAATCCCATCTCCCGTCGGCTTAAACGAGGATCCCTCTGCGTCTCGGTCGCCGCGGCGACCCTGGCAATGTGGGGGGTTTGTGGTGTGTTCGCGTTTGAGCAAAGCACTTGTTTATATACACATTTTTAAGGGAAATATTAGCATTCGGCGTAGATGCTAGTCCTGTCCTGCAATAAATAAATAAATATATGACCTAGATGAGTATTAATGAATGCAGAAACTATGCTGAATCGCCGGGATCTGTGAAAACATTGGACAAACTTGCTTTTTATCGAGCAAATAATTGTGTGGCTCTGCAGTCTGGCATGGAGGACATGAAAAGGCAGGATCCACAGCTATAGAAATGCATCCTGCTGATGCCTGAATTTTTTGTTTTAATGAGTGAATAAACTTTATTCTGTCCGTCACCTGCATTCACTTGATTGTCACTGTTGGGGGAAAGTCTAAGTGAGGGGGTGGCTATGGGGTGCATTTGCTACAGGATTAGAACCCAGCATGCAGGAGACTCCAGGGCACAAAGGTAGGACTTTGGTAATCAACCTCTCTTTTGTTGGTAGCAGACAAGCTCCGAATGATGTACTACGGTTTATGTTGCAGGCTTAAGGTTTCATAGACTGGAACCTAGCTGAAATGTCCCATCATTGATTCTTACTCTTGAAGCTGTTGAGCGTATCCATACCAGAATGATCATTTGGGCTCGCAGACCTCTCCTTCACATACATCATTTTACTGGCATGGTGCACTTTATCCCAATCCGGTCCTCCGGAACCCACAGTCGGTCCATGTTTCTGCTCCCTTCATGCTCCCTGGCACACAGTCCACATTTTTGCTCCCTCTTAGCCTTTATTCACCTGGCGCAGTGGGATACTTAATCTGCTGTATTTGTCTTTGGTGAGTATCATCTACAGCAGTTCAACCTGTGCATACCAGTACCATCAACAAGCCCCCCCCCTCCCCCCGTTACAACTAGCTATACATGCATTCCATTAAGGTCTTTTTAAATGAATA